AGGATGATGTTGTAGGCAGAGGGGCAGTCAACAACAAGGAATGTGAGCAACTTTGTGGTCTGCCGCGGGTACTCACCAATTGTGATAGGGAGATCGATGGAGCCGATGGAGGTCACCCGGTCGCCAATGAAACCGACCAAAGAGGTTTGGAGGGGAGACGGACTTTCTTCTCCAATCTTGAGCTGGCGAAAGCAATTGAGGAAGATGATGTCTGAAGAACTACCGTTGTCGACGAGAACCCGTCTGACCTTGTAATTGGAGAGGAGGGCGGAAATGACGAGAGGGTCGTCATGAGGATAACGGATGCTTATGCAGTCGACGTCCGTAAAGGTGATAGGCTCGGTCCACTACCTGGGGTATTTGGAGGGTCGGTCCAACGTGGCAACTTCTTTGTCTGAGCCCTGCCTTATTTTCCTGAGTTCTGCCCGCTGAGCCGACCGGGATGGTCCTCTACAAACAAGCCCGCTGGAGATAACTCTGATTTCTCCAACAGGTGGGGCGGGGCTACCTTGTTCCCGAGGTTGCTGTGGAGGGCGATCATGACCTTGGTTAGGCTGTGCTGGCTGTCGGGGAGGGGTGCGCCGGCGGTTGTTTCTGATGGGTTCAGTCCGCTGCCTCTGCTGAGGGCGAGTATCCGTGAATCGGCTGAGGCGTCCTTGACGAATCAGGCCCTCGACCTGATCTTTGAGGTTAACACACTCCTCGGTATTATGGCCGTGATCCTGGTGAAAACGGCAATATTTGGACTGGTTTTTCTGATTGGAAGGAGTCTATGATGGTTGGGGCCATTTTAGGGGGTAGTTCCGATGGATCTAATGGAGGACTTGTCCTGTGGGGGAGTTTAGGGGGGTGTATCGCTCGAACCGGCCGGGAGGTCGGGCTGGGGCCAACCGGTCGGTTCTGGGGGGTCGGCCAATGTACTGAGACGTTTGGTTATTGTACTGGGTATTTCTGGTGTCTGAGTCTTTTCTCTAGGGGTCGGGTTTTTGGTTATAGGATCTTGCCGGGCGGCTAGGGAATCTTCAGCATTCATGTATTTTTGGGCTTTGGATAGTAGGGCTGCCATGGAGGTCGGGAGGTTTTTAGAGAAAGAGAAAAAGAAGTCAGACGACCGCAGACCGGCCATGAAAGCCGTAAGGATGACCTTGTCATCATTTTCCGCTACTTGCAGGGCTTCGGTGTTGAAGCGGGTAACGAAACTGCATAGGGACTCCCCCTTGGTCTGACGGATGTTGAGGAGTTGGGTTGCCGGACGCCGCTGGCACTGGGCTCCAATGAAATGGCTGAGGAAAGAGTCACTGAGGTGCTGGAAAGTGGAGACAAAATCTGCTGACAGTTGACTAAACCAAAGTCGAGTTGACCCCTTGAGTGTCACGGGGAAAGCCCAGCATATGATTTCGTCAGGGAAAACATGGAGGATCATGAGGGTCCTGTAGGTCTCCAAATGGTCGACTGGGTCTGTCGTACCGTCAAAAGAGTCAATTGTGGGCATTTTGAACTTGGGGGTAGAAGTTTGTCCCAGATGGAGGCAACGAATGGCGAGTTGGCTGTGAGAGAGGGTTTATACTGGATGTTCTGTATAACCCCTTGGAGTTTGAGCTTCATGGCTTGGAGTTCTGCATCCCAGAGAGGAAAGTTGTCACCACTGGAGGGGAGCGGGGGCTGGACGCTATTGGCCTCTCCTTCAGGGGTTGGTGTCAGGACTGATGGATGTGGGGTCGGGGTGGTGGATTTATATTTGGGGGAGGAGGTTGCAAGCCTTCCAAGTTGGGTGGATAAGGCAGCTGAATAGTATGGCTCAGGGCTCGTTCTCGGTTGGGTAGAATATCTGGAGGTGGTTGAGGGGGCATGGGAAGGTCTCTTTGGAGCAGGGAATTGATTAGAGCTTGGTTCTACTCGGCAAGGCGGTTAATACTGTTGGTGAGCTCGGTAAAGTATTGTGGTGGGTTGTTTGGATTAGGAGGGTCGGCTTGGTGGTCGGGAACATTGGGGTGGGAAACCATGGATCTAGTCGTGACCATTCACCTTCGCAGGTGACAGGAAGGGGTTATTGGGAAAGGGCCTCCGGCGACAATGAGCACAACTAACGCACAGAGTAAGAAAGGTTCCCACAGACGGTGCCAACTGATGATACGGTTCGTTCTAATGAACGGGTCAGGCTGATCCACGCTCTTCACGCCTATGTCCGAATGACCAAGCCCACCGGAAGACCTGCATATGAGTTCAACGGGAAACGGGGAGTCCCCCAGTGAACCCTCCGACGAGCAAGTTAGAAAGAGGAGTGGAGTATAGAGCGAGATTAGAGATAGAAAACTTAACCTTCTTCTTGTCTTCAATATCTGCTTATATCCTCTCGTAATCATTTTGTTGTCCCTTCCGACCTGTCACCTTGGCCGAAAGTCTATGTTGTAGCTTACCTTGTTCGGGGTGAGGGCGTACTGTCCTAACGGAGAGGGGTTATCGCAATAAATGCTGTAAGGGGCCTCATTAATGGCGATGTGGCGTAGCAATAACTTTGCAGATCTTTGTCTGCTGCTGTGGCTTGCCCTTCTCTTGCCACGTGTCTTGATGCCATTGGTTCTTATTGTTATGTAGGGCTTCAGCAGTGCTGGGCTTCATTAATTGGATTATGTATTGGGCCTTAAGTGGTGGGCCTTGGTTGTTCATAGTGGGCTGTAGCCTTTATGGGCCTACCCATATCAGAACAACTTGATGTTAGGATGAGAGTGCAAAGAAAGAAAAATTGGGCAACAATATCAAAATGAATAGAATGTCAAGTTCAAAACACTTTGATCTATGAAAAAGACAAAACTAGTGTACAAAAAAAAATAATATGAGAGCTAGAAGTAATCGACAATTTGAATAAATGAATAGAAACAAAGTTATAATTGTCAATCACTTCGAACAAGTTGTTTTTATCTTCGATCTCTTCTCATTTGACGAGCTATAATTGGCTTTGTTCTTCAGACTTGAGCTCAATTACAACATGCAGATAGAGGGAGAGAGATCGCCACTACTGCCGCCTTCATCAATCTTGCGAAACCCAAACCCTAGGGCTTTTGGAACAATGAATAGAGCCAGATATTACGAATTGAATACAGAGCCAAATATCAATCAGATCTTGATTGTCAGCGCCAATCTGATATCTCCATCACTAAAACATTGACGAAAATGAGCTCCTCTAGACGACTCTCAAGGAGCAAGCTCAATGCGATGTCAAACTTTCCAAGCCCGTTGCTAATTTCTTATGGCCACTGCCACTATCACCGCTGACGAAGTAGAGGGGCTCGAAGGTGGGAGTAAGAAACCCTAGCTTGAAACCCTTGTAGTTGAAGAAGAGAGAAAAGAGAGAGAATAAAAAATAGATGCCTTGTTTGGTTTGTTTTTGAGAAACAAATTTTGGAGAAATTTTTTCAAAATTTTGTTTGGTTTATTGATTTTGGAAAAAAAATTTCAAAATCACTTTCTCTCTCTTACACAATAATCAATCAATTTTTCTTTCTTCTCTCTTCTTTTCAATTACTTTTTCTCACACACACATTTACTCAATTACAATAAAATATTAAATCATCTCAAACTTTCATACTCTAAAGCTATTTCCAAACTATACAACCAAACAAATCAAAAAAATTTATAAACTCCCTCCCCAAAATCTTTTTTGAAAATTTATCTTTCAAAATCAAATCAAACACACCAGAGTGTTTGGTTTGTTTTCACCTGACTGTGTATATCATATATATGCATGGATATTGTGGTCATTTTGCTTAAGTATATCCGTAAGAACAAAATATTTTAAAGTGTAATATTTTGAGTGAAGACACTTTAAAATTAAATTTATAAATGGAGTGTCCTATTAAACATAATTTAAAAATATTCATAGTTACTTTGGGTGTGTTTGGTAACGTTTACGTTTTCAGTTTATATTTACAAAAATTTTATAAACTGGTTTTTGTTTATTTTTTGTTTATTTTTAGAAAAACATAAACTACAAACGCGCTTGGTAATTGACAAAATATTTACAAAATTTAAAAAATATAAAAAAGAGTGAAAAATGATAAGTGGTGGCAAGTGGCGGCGAAAGACGGTGGGTGGTGGGTAGCTGGTGGTGGCGGGTGAGTGGGTGACGGTGGCGGGTGGTAGCGAGTGGGTGGTGGTGGCGGTGGCGAGTGGTGGAAAGTGGTAATGGTGGGTGGTGGGTACCTGGTGGTGGTGGGTGGTGGCGAGTGGGTGGGTGACGGTGGCGGGTGGTAGTGGTGGTGGCGGCGGCGAGTGGTGGTGGCAGGTGGTGGTGTGTGGTGGCGGGTAGGTGACGGGACTATTAATCAAATTGTTGAATAGTTTATAAGACTATTAAAACTTTTCTTTCATTAGTCAAATTGTCCTGAAGCATCAAAACATCCAAATAATTTGAATGTAACATTGTAAAATTGCAATCGCATCATATTTGCAATCACCATTAGTGTATATATATTTTTTATGAGATTTTTCGAAGAGAGAGTGAGAGAGAAGAAGAAGAAGCAGAAGGAGGCGAGCTGCTCGAAGGCGAGATCGATCGCGATGGCGATGGTGAAGGCGATGTGGCGGTGGCGGTGGCGGTGGCGATGGCGATGGCGGCGAGGGGTGGGTGGTGGTGGCGAATGGGTGGCAGGTGGGTGGTGGCTAGTGGGTGGTGAGTGGTGGTAGCAAGTGGTGGTGGGGGATGGGGGGTGGTGGCGGAAGACGGTAGTAGAAAATGGTGGCGGGGGGTGGCTAGTGTTGGGTGGTTTAAAAAAAAAAAACTAAAAATTCAAAATGGAAATACATTTTTTGTGTTTTCATTTTTTGGCCAAATTTATAAACTGAGACCACTGATTTATAAATTAAAAATTTTATCAAACAAATTTTTATTTAAATTTTTTAAATTTTTGTAAATATAAACAGAAAACTAAAAACGTAAGTGTTATCAAAGGACACCTTTTTGATTTGGGTTTGGTTTTTATTTATTTTTTAAAATTTAAATTTTGTTTTTGTTTTAAATTTTTATTTGTTTTTGGGGGAGTACGGACAAGCAATAATGAACCTTCCCACGGTTTTCACTCTTCAGCAGAAGCTCCGCCGGGTGACTTTCCACCGAAGACACAGCGGTACAGTCCAAACCTGCAACTCTCTCTCTCTCTCTCTCTCAAATCCATAGCTAAGGTTTTGTGATCTATTTCTCTCTGATTGTGGATTAGATTCCTGAGAGTTGTTCATTGTAAGACTTTCATCGACATGACTTTCCAAGGGAAAAAACTCATCAACGACCCTAATGGTATACTCTCTCTCTCTCTCTCTCTGTCACTTGTTTGCATTGTTTTGTATCATCTGATTCGCCCCGATTCTCGATTTCACTTGTTCTTTTTTGCCTCGATTTCAATGGGGAATGTTACACAATAGATGGATACAAGGGAAGGGGAAACAGTTGTTTTGGTTCTTGGTTTAATCGGCTCAAACAAGTTGTAGGGTAACCCTTTCCCATTCTCATTCCGTGTACACAAATGATCCACGTTCCAATTTAGGATCAACTGTAACATGACCAAGGGTTGACTTGTTTCCCCACCCGAACCGTGTGGTGATGGATTGCATCACTACGTGACTCTTGGGTATGCCCGCCCTTTCTCACATCTCCTAAGTTACGTTGTTTGTTTAGACATCTTTATTGAGAAAGGGCCTTTTGAACTCAATATTGTAATCCTCTTGGATTCTTTATCGGGACATACCCCTTGAGAAAGGCCCTTTTGAGATAAAGTGTTTGGATGTGAGGAAAACAACATTGTAATCCTCTTGGATTTTTTATTGGGACATACCCCTTGGTGCTTATACACTCTTCATGATGAGCTTATACTATGTTGATGATTGCATAGGTGATCTCCAGTCAGAAGCATGATAGCCTGGGCTAATCATAGAATGCTGTAAACTTGACACAATTCTAGAGTGTCTTTGCATGAGCATTTGTATGAAGTTGTACTTTTGGTTGGGGTGATGATAGTTAGCCATTTATTTAATTTCACCATCGTCATATAATACTAAACTCATAGAGTAGCCTCTCATCAGTTCTCATTGAGGGTTTTGAGACCACCTTGTCTGCTGTTGGACCGTAATAAGCTATCATATCAACATTTTTTTCCCTGTAACCTTGTCCCTATGATCAAGATAGGGGGCTCTTTCGTACATGAGCGTTCCCATTATCTTTGAACTTCAATTCTTTCGAGGTGACATTTCTTTTAAAGTACTGTCTAGAGTGCAGTGTCCCTGGTAGAATGCATCATTGTCTTGTGACAAATGCAATGCTCAGGGATTTTCCTATATTTCTTTTCTGGTATTACTTTCACAGGTGGGAGTGTAAGCTCATCACCTGTAACTCATTCTTGCACCATAACCTTTTATTTCCTCAAGGCTGCATGGATATAGATTCTTGTCATCATATTGCCTCATTTTCCCTGATTCTGTGGCTTTCAATGTGGTAAAGCGAAACTGCAGAGACTAAACTCTCTCAATTTTTGTGAAATCCATTCCACGACTTGGTGGTTTAATTGTTGACCTGAGGTTCCAAGTTTGCTTCATCCATTGGCCCGTGGCAGTCGATGATTTTTATCTTGAAATTGCTTGACATAGTCAAGAATGTCCACCCAAGCTTTTGGGTTTATGGACAAGTGTGAAAGTAGTCACTCAGAAACTTGGAAGAACTTGGAATGGAATTTATTGACCATTTCTAGGATTTAATAGAGTTTGGGGCTAGGTTCATGAACCAACTGTAAGGATGCTTAGTGAGAAAACTTTCCTTGGGCGAAGGGGGTGATAAGCAACATAAACACCTAGCATCTCAATAAATTGAACTTCATGTTCTTGGGCTCTATTCAAGATTGAGGTACTCAAGGAAATTACCCCTCATTTTCCTCGATGGTTATTGCACCATAATGCTTTTGGTGCCAAAGTTGAGGACTTTTCTTCTTGCTTTTGTTGGGTTGTAATTTTCCATAGCTCAAGGGTGCCCTTCACACTAAATTCATCCTCCAACCATTTTTTTTTTTTATGTGAGGTCCCTTGCTAGGTTGCAAGGACTTGTCGCTGACTTATTTGGCCTCCCTCCTCATAATTCATCCTGAATATCGATTCCTTTTTATGACTTCCAAGGATATTATAAGATATCCGAGATAAGTTTTGTATGATTACTTGTTACTGTGCACGTTGAGTCTTTCATTTGCGTTCTGACTAAACTTCAGGAAATGTACTAATAAATTATTATTCTCTTATTTTCTCAATTTTTTTGTTACTGTGCACGTTGAGTCTTTCATTTGCTTTCTGACTAAACTTCAGGAAATGTACTAATAAATTATTGTTCTCTTATTTTCTCAATTTTTTTGAACACAGATGAGGCATGTTTTTTTAGCTTATGAGAATTTTAGGAAATTGAAATGAAACTACAAATTTGAATATTACCAGATAAAAGATTAAATTCCAATCTGACAAAAGTAGAATTTTTCGCTTTTGGTAAACTTTATATAGCATTAAACCTGACATTCAGCAATTTATTTTCTTTTCTTTTACTCTATGCTCTCAGAATTCTGACTGACTTTTCATTTGAGGTCTTTGTAGCATTGTGAAGCTGAATTTGATTTTGTTACTATTTTTACAGATGTGGTGATCGAGTTCATTGAGGGTCTTGTGGAAACTTATCCTGGCTTGCAGTATTTGGATGGTTTTCCAGAGGTGATTTAATATTTCAAATTTGTCTTTTTTGCATTTGGTAATTTGCTTTATGTGCGTAAATGGTGACATCTTCCGGTTATGTGAATATAGGTTAAGGTTGTGTTACGTGCCGATGTTTCAAGTACATATGACAAAGTTGCAGTTATATCAGGTTTGAGACCCTGTGAAGTTCTCAGTAAATTTTTTTGGATTCTTCTTATGTATTGGAATTTAAAATGTTTCTTTAAGTTGACAATTATGTTTTTTTTCTTCTTCTCTTGTTAAGTTGTGCCAGTCTTCTGTCTTCATGCATTTGGCATATAAGTTGGATACGTTAAACTACTTGATCTACTTGTCAAATTTGCATTTGGACAAAAATGCGATAGAATTTTAGGTTGCTTGTAGTGTTATAAATTTGATATGTATATTTTACTACTGTTTTAGAAATCATTTTGTATTACTCAAAGAAGGCTCTTTTGCCATTTTGTCATTCCTTTTTCACTACATGAGAGCAGAATGTTACACTCATGCAATGATCTTCTTGTTCTCTTCAACTAGTTATGAAATTATGTTCCCATGAACTCTTACCTAGTTAACGGACGGGCACTGGAATTCAAATTCTTGAATCTTGTGGTGCCCATTACAATAGCCCTAAATATGGACAATTGTGTTATACAGGTGGAGGAAGTGGTCATGAGCCCGCTCATGCTGGATTTGTGGGGGAAGGGATGCTGACAGCAGCTATCTGTGGGGATGTTTTTGCCTCTCCACCTGTTGGTTCAATTCTAGCTGTATGATTTCTTCCTACCTAATCTAATAACCTAAAATGATACCAATAGTTAAATCACCATGCTTGTGTCTTGTTCATTCCTCCTTTATATGACCAGAAGTTGACTTTACTCAATTTTAGGGCATACGAGCTGTAACTGGTCCCATGGGATGCCTCCTTATTGTCACGGTAATAGCATCCAAATAAGTTATATGAATTATTATTTCCTTTTTGATTGAAACCAGTTATTTGGATTACATAGTGATGTTTTTGTGAGAATGACTTCTGTTTGATTAAGAAAGATAATAGTGAAGATGGTATTTTAGCAAAATAAATACATGACACCATATGGAAAAAGTTGCCAGTTTGCTGGTTTTCTTTGCAAGAAATATGATCTGATTTCAATTAAGTGTTTATAAAAATATTGAGCAGTTAAGCTGGTATTTACCGATTTATTATGTCGTTGTTTGTGTGACAGAATTATACTGGTGATCGGTTAAATTTTGGTTTGGCTGCTGAGCAAGCAAAGTCTGAAGGTTACAAAGTAGAGGTATTTATTTATGAAACAAATGTCTTTCCAAATATACATACAATGAGTTTTAATAAATGTACTAAGTTATGAATGCTGCTTGTAGATGGTGATTGTTGGCGATGATTGTGCTTTACCACCACCTCGAGGCATTGTTGGACGAAGAGGTTTGGCTGGGACTATTCTTGTTAATAAGGTTTGATCTCTCTTTCTCTCTCAATGTTGTCGAATGAACTTACAAATCGATTGAAGAGGTAAATTAGTGTTATTAAAGGTGCACCTAGGCGTGTGCCTAGGCCCAAGTCCCATCCAAGCCAAAGGTTTGCGGCTTGTAGTGTTCCAGGCCAGGCAACTTCGATAAGTCGCGCTTAAGGCATGTGACTGGCCAAGGAGCAGAAAAGCCCAAGGCCTACGCCTTGAGGGCTTTTTTTTATTGTTGCTTTGATTGGTTTTGTTTAAAATTTGACCATTGATTTAACATGGTGCAACTATAAAAGATCCCTACTCGTAAGTACACATACCAATACATTGGGCATTCAGCCACAAATCAACAATATAAGTAAAATTAGTCCTAATTCCTAATCTCCGAAGAACACTTTGTTGCTGCCTGCTTTCGTTATCCAGTCCAGCAGCTCCAAAAATTCTTCTTCATGTTGCTATCTTCTTCTTCTTCTTCTCTTCTTACATTTCTCTCTCATTCCTTTCTCTTCTTTTCTTCTCTACATTGTTGTCTTCTCCACTTCTCTTCTCTACGTTTCTTCTTAAATTATTTTCTTATATTAAATTACATATTTTTTCACGTACAAGGTGTGCCTCACTTCGGTAAAGCCTGCGCCTTGCACCTAGGCCCCAAGAGACCTTGGCGCCTCAGTGCGCCTATCGCCTTTAATAATATTGAGGTAAATATAGATTCATTAAAAGCCTAAGTATCCAACTCATAAGAAATTAGGAAGAAACTTGAAAATATAATATAACAAAAGATAAATCAACATTTCATTGCAAATATACAAAATAAGACAAGCTTTTTTTTTTCCCTTCTCCACATTTGGCTCAGATTGCTTTGATTTTGGGTGAGCCCACAATATGTATCTTTTTTTATACCACATGAAACGTACATTCTGATATATATATATAGATATATTTATATATATACTACGCATCCATATGCAAGTGGGTTCAACATTTCATTGCATATATACAAAATAATACAAGTTTTGTTTTATTACGTTTATTTTTCTCTACAATCGGTTCTGATTGCTTTGATTCTAGGTAAGCCTAGTCCACGATATTTATTTTTCATACAATACGAAACGTACGATTCTAACAACATTGGTCTTTCTCTCTCTCTCTCTCTATATATATGTATATATATGTTATGCATCCATATGCAAGTGGCTTCTTACATGCACAAGCTCTAGCACTTTTTCTTGTTTGTTGCACTTTTACCGGTTTTTCATTTTCCCCTTCTTCCAAACAGTATGCTTAACTAGTCATCTAATTTTAGGTGAGCATTAGTTAAAATTTCAATTTAGAAGATATATTGGTGAATCAAAAAACTAAGGTGCTTTCATTTAGATATGATTTCGGAAAATTATTAAATAAAAAAAAAAAAAATCAAGCAAATATGATGAACTTAGGAATCACTCCATGATCAAAATTTGGTCTCACACCATTTATCAAAAAAAAAAAAAAGAAAGAAAGAATGGTCTCACACCAAAATTAGAACTCAAATTTCTTTCAACAACCACTCAAAATGGTTATGGCTCTGTTTGGAACGATTTCCAAACGTTGATTCTACTCCCACATTTGAATATGATGTTTGGATAGGTATGTGGAACTAATTTTCCACTACTCTGCAGAAAACTCTGCCTGAGGCATGATTTTCAAATTTTTTTTTTTTTAAAATTTGGCCTAACCATTCGTCCCACCGGTCATCCGGCCGGTTGACCGGAATAGTGCAATTTTTTTTTATTTTTTGCAATTGATATGTTAATTTTTATATATTCGAAAAAAATATTTTCCGAATCTTTAAAATTTTTTTGTGTGCTTTAATAGAATTTTGAGTTGTATGTTTGGTTATGAGTTGTAAGTTTTTGTATCAAATATCATACGTCACATCAAAAATTCCCCACTCAATTCAAAACTCTTTTACCAAACAAATTTTCCACACTCAAATCATAATTCCAAAACTCACAAACTTAAAATACAACTCCTATTCTCAAATCATATTTACAAAGCTCTACCAAGCGCAACCTATAATTCTCTCTTGTATAGTGGAGGCTTTATAGAAGTAGTCAGTTCGAACAAATAAACTAAGAGGTAGTGGCCAATTCAAACTAGTAGTTTAGAGGTAGTATTCAATTTGAGCAAGTAACTGGCTTTGCTTAGTAGCAAAGGAACTACTTTTCCATTTAGGCGAAGCAAAGGCTAGATGGGCCTTTGGTTTTTGAGTTAAGCGTTATGATTTGTAGTTACATTATGATTTGTTTAATGTTATCCTAGAAATGAGAATACACGAAATGATGCAAACATTACATATATAATACATATAATTTGTTTACTATATGATCGTTTCAATAATTTTGACAATTTTGATAAAAGTTAAATTCTATAGTTTTTATCATTTTTTTGTTCTTCAAACATACATTGAGGTAAGAAGAAAGGAGATGCTTAATGTAAGAATTTATGTATTTATTGATTGATTGATGATTCTGTATTACAAGATTGATTAATTACAATTCCTATACAATCTATATATAGAAGAAAATGTGGTAGTAGGTGTAGTGGAGGTGATAGTGGGTTAGGTGAAGTGGAGTGTGTGGTGAAGTGGAGGTAGGTGAAGTGGAGTGTGTAGTGGAGTAGGTGAAGGTAAAGATGAGAAATTCTAACAGGTCATGAGCCCGCTCATGCTGGATTTGTGGGGGAAGGGATGCTGACAGCAGCTATCTGTGGGGATGTTTTTGCCTCTCCACCTGTTGGTTCAATTCTAGCTGTATGATTTCTTCCTACCTAATCTAATAACCTAAAATGATACCAATAGTTAAATCACCATGCTTGTGTCTTGTTCATTCCTCCTTTATATGACCAGAAGTTGACTTTACTCAATTTTAGGGCATACGAGCTGTAACTGGTCCCATGGGATGCCTCCTTATTGTCACGGTAATAGCATCCAAATAAGTTATATGAATTATTATTTCCTTTTTGATTGAAACCAGTTATTTGGATTACATAGTGATGTTTTTGTGAGAATGACTTCTGTTTGATTAAGAAAGATAATAGTGAAGATGGTATTTTAGCAAAATAAATACATGACACCATATGGAAAAAGTTGCCAGTTTGCTGGTTTTCTTTGCAAGAAATATGATCTGATTTCAATTAAGTGTTTATAAAAATATTGAGCAGTTAAGCTGGTATTTACCGATTTATTATGTCGTTGTTTGTGTGACAGAATTATACTGGTGATCGGTTAAATTTTGGTTTGGCTGCTGAGCAAGCAAAGTCTGAAGGTTACAAAGTAGAGGTATTTATTTATGAAACAAATGTCTTTCCAAATATACATACAATGAGTTTTAATAAATGTACTAAGTTATGAATGCTGCTTGTAGATGGTGATTGTTGGCGATGATTGTGCTTTACCACCACCTCGAGGCATTGTTGGACGAAGAGGTTTGGCTGGGACTATTCTTGTTAATAAGGTTTGATCTCTCTTTCTCTCTCAATGTTGTCGAATGAACTTACAAATCGATTGAAGAGGTAAATTAGTGTTATTAAAGGTGCACCTAGGCGTGTGCCTAGGCCCAAGTCCCATCCAAGCCAAAGGTTTGCGGCTTGCAGTGTTCCAGGCCAGAGGTTTGCGGCTTGCAGTGTTCCAGGCCAGGCAACTTTGATAAGTCGTGTTTAAGGCATGCGACTGGCCAAGGAGCAGAAAAGCGCAAGGCCTACGCCTTGAGGGCTTTTTTTTATTGTTGCTTTGATTGGTTTTGTTTAAAATTTGACCATTGATTTAACATGGTGCAACTATAAAAGATCCCTACTCGTAAGTACACATACCAATACATTGGGCATTCAGCCACAAATCAACAATATAAGTAAAATTAGTCCTAATTCCTAATCTCCGAAGAACACTTTGTTGCTGCCTGCTTTCGTTATCCAGTCCAGCAGCTCCAAAAATTCTTCTTCATGTTGCTATCTTCTTCTTCTTCTTCTTCTTCTTCTTCTCTTCTTACATTTCTCTCTCATTCCTTTCTCTTCTTTTCTTCTTTACGTTGTTGTCTTCTCCACTTCTCTTCTCTACGTTTCTTCTTAAATTATTTTCTTCTATTAAATTACATATTTTTTCACGTACAAGGTGTGCCTCACTTCGGTAAAGCCTGCGCCTTGCACCTAGGCCCCAAGAGACCTTGTCGCCTCAGTGTGCCTATCACCTTTAATAATACTGAGGTAAATATAGATTCATTAAAAACCTAGGTATCCAACTCATAAGAAATTAGGAAGAAACTTGAAAATATAATATAACAAAAGATAAGTCAACATTTCATTGCAAATATACAAAATAAGACAAGCTTTTTTTTTTTCCCTTCTCCACATTTGGCTCAGATTGCTTTGATTTTGGGTGAGCCCACAATATGTATCTTTTTTATACCACATGAAACGTACAATTCTGATATATATATATAGATATATTTATATATATACTACGCATCCATATGCAAGTGGGTTCAACATTTCATTGCATATATACAAAATAATACAAGTTTTGTTTTATTATGTTTATTTTTCTCTACAATCGGGTCTGATTGCTTTGATTCTAGGTGAGCCTAGCCCACGATATTTATTTTTCATACAATACGAAACGTACGATTCTAACAACATTGGTCTTTCTCTCTCTCTCTCTCTATATATATATATATATATGTTATGCATCCATATGCAAGTGGCTTCTTACATGCACAAGCTCTAGCACTTTTTCTTGTTTGTTGCACTTTTACCGGTTTTTCATTTTCCCCTTCTTCCAAACAGTATGCTTAACTAGTCATCTAATTTTAGGTGAGCATTAGTTAAAATTTCAATTTAGAAGATATATTGGTGAATCAAAAAACTAAGGTGCTTTCATTTAGATATGATTTCGGAAAATTATTAAATAAAAAAAAAAAAAATCAAGCAAATATGATGAACTTAGGAATCACTCCATGATCAAAATTTGGTCTCACACCATTTATCAAAAAAAAAAAAAAGAAAGAAAGAAAGGTCTCACACTAAAATTAGAACTCAAATTTCTTTCAACAACCATTCAAAATGGTTATGGCTCTGTTTGGAACGATTTCCAAACGTTGATTCTACTCCCACATTTGAATATGATGTTTGGATAGGTATGTAGAACTAATTTTTCACTACTCTGCAGAAAACTCTGTCTGAGACACGATTTTCAAAATTTTTTGTTTTTTAAATTTGGCCTAACCAGTCGTCCCACCGGTCATCCGGCCGGTTGACTGGAATAGTGCAATTTTTTTTTATTTTTTGCAATTGATATGTTAATTTTTATATATTCGAAAAAAATATTTTCTGAATTTTTAAAATTTTTTTGTGTGCTTTAATAGAATTTTGAGTTGTATGTTTGGTTATGAGTTGTAAGTTTTTGTATCAAATATCATATGTCACATCAAAAATTCTTCACTCAATTCAAAACTCTTTTACCAAACAAATTTTTTACACTCAAATAATAATTCCAAAACTCACAAACTTAAAATACAACTCCTACTCTCAAATCATATTTACAAGGTCTACCAAGCGCAACCTATAATTCTCTCTTGTATAGTGGAGGCTTTATAGAAGTAGTCAGTTCGAACAAATAAACTAAGAGGTAGTGGCCAATTCAAACTAGTAGTTTAGAGGTAGTATTCAATTTGAGCAAGTAACTGGCTTTGCTTAGTAGCAAAGGAACTACTTTTCCATTTAGGCGAAGCAAAGGCTAGATGGGCCTTTGGTTTTTGAGTTAAGCGTTATGATTTGTAGTTACATTATGATTTGTTTAATGTTATCCTAGAAATGAGAATACACGAAATGATGCAAACATTACATATATAATACATATAATTTGTTTACTATATGATCGTTTCAATAATTTTGACAATTTTGATAAAAGTTAAATTCTATAGTTTTTACCATTTTTTTGTTCTTCAATCATACATTGAGGTAAGAAGAAAGGAGATGCTTAAAATTTGCACCCTTTATTTGTGGCCAACCATAGTGGCAACCTATAACTAGCAAATTTTATTTTTATTTTTTAAATTCAAAAGCATGTTGAGAATTTACTAGAATCCGAAACTTAACATCTTCAAATTGATCAAACTGTCAAGCATGCCAGCCTAGGGGTTTGAATACGCCTAGCATCTGTCTGTCTAACAGGAGCATGAAGGTTATTGTGAAAATGGTAGTTGATGGTGTGTTATTTGGTGGTATGAGCATGAAATAATTAACCATGACATTGCATCTTTTTTCTAATTAAAATTTTCCAGTAATGCCCCAAACTATTGAGGGTTTATGTAATCTTTTTCATCTCTCATGACGCTTGATGCCTTGGTAAATTTTGCTTTGTTCAAGAAGCAACTAATCAATTTTCTTTCTTCATATGTGTTTTTATCATTTACCTCTTCATCTTTATCGATTTGTGAAAAGCAGGTTGTCGGAGCTGCTGCTGCTTCTGGCCTCTCACTTGCCGATGTTGCTGCAGAAGCAAAACGTGCATCTGAAATTGTCGGAACAATGGGTGTTGCACTATCTGTTTGCACACTGCCTGGTGAGGTTACATCAGACCGTTTGGGCCCTGGAAAGATGGAGCTTGGTCTTGGAATTGTAAGTAAAACTCCATGAACCACATTGTCCTAATTTTTTTGAAGTTATATAAGTAGATTGTTTTTGATGCCCTATATGGTAGGTACCTGCTTATTACTTGAATGGCACTGTCTTCTAACAGGCTTGTGCTTCCTTATTCTCTTATTTCATTCTTGTTTTTGTTTTTGTTTTTTTAATAAATATGTGGCTACAATAGGTTGGTGCTCCAAATTCCTCATTTCCTACTTTAGTTTTTGGTTACAATTTTGCATAGTTGTCTGACTGAATTTTTTTTCTTTTATTTGTCATTTTCTTTTCATTTTCAGCATGGCGAACCAGGCGCTGCTGTGGCTGACATTCAGTCTGTGGATAATGTGGTTTCTCATGTTCTTAAGCAAATACTGTCACCAGTATGGCACTATGGGTGTAGATTTTATGCTTATCTTTAATTCACTTCTATCTCTTGGTTATTGTTCATGTCCTTTCTGTGTGCGAAGCAGAGAGGCTCTTATTTGTCTCTCTTTTTTTTTTAATTTTTATTTTTATTGTGGCTTTGAGGGATCAAATCACAAATTTAAAAAATGTGGAGATTTAGATATTAGAATTTAGAACTAGAAAAGTCCCTGATGTTATCAAATAATATATTTTGGGAAGACAGCGGTAATCTTTTTGGTTTAATATTTTCCTAATTGCTGTTGTGTGGGGATTTCAGTGTCGTTAGGGTATTGTCAGAAAAGTTAAGTGGGACTAGACTCTAGACTAGTGTCATAAGAAGTATGAGAAATTTTAATGCCTTTATCAAGGGTTATGATTTAATTGATCTTCCTTCATTGAATGCCAATTTTACTTGTTCTAACTTTTAGGAAAATTTGATTTGTAATAGACTGGATAAATTTCTATTTTCTTTAGGATTTGAGGAAATATTTGCAAATTATAAGACGGGAGGTACCTCCCAGTGTGTTGTCTGATGCCCCTGATGATCATTGTCTAGTGGTTTAGGAAAGTTGTTCATTTAAGTAGGAATGAACTCCCGTTAGATTTGAGAATATGCGGTTAGATCATCCTTTGTTTTTGAGAGATTTTAGGAAGTGCTGGGAATAATGTATAGTTTGTAGGTGGGAGGGTGTCAAATTTATGTAGAAATTTAGAATGGTTAAGATAAAGCTCAAAAAATAGAAAAAGGAATTTTTGGAGATTGGCAATAGGCTAGAGGCTTATGGAGAGTTGGGTGAGATGCTTAGACGGAAATGTCAAGATTGAAAATTTGGTATGCGAAAGTAGTATGCCGGGAAACCATTTTTTTGAGCCATGGGTCTAAGATAAAGTGGTTGAAAGAAAAAAGTTATTCCAAATTGTTTCATAAGTGGCAAATGGGAAGAGGGAAAAAAAAGCTCATTAAGAAATTGGAATTAGATTTTGGTAGTGTTGTGGAGAGAAAAGATTAAATTATTAATGAAGTTTTTCTTTTAATTCAAAATTATATTCTTCTGGTGGGCTTGTGAGACTAGGGATTGAGGGTCTTGAGTGATTTCCAATTAACCTTGAAAAGCCATTCGAGGAGTTGGAAATTAAAGAGGACTTTTTGTAAGGAAAACCACTGGCTATTTTCCAAGAATGTTGGCAGATTCGTCAAGGGAGATTTGACAAACGTTTTTGTGGAGTTTTCCGAGAGTAGGATTGTTAATGGTTGTATCAATGTTTCTTTTATTTTCTTGATCCCTAAAAGGGAGAACTATATGAAAATCAGAGATTTTGGACCTATTAGTTTGCTTACTTGTATAAAATTTTGGCTGAAGTTTTATATAGAAAATTGAAAGTAGTATTGGGTGATACTATTTCTCTTATTTTGGGAGCTTTTGTTGAAACCCGCAAAATTTTGGATTTAGTTTTCAGTGCTAATATGAGGCGGTAGAGGAATATACGAATCGTGATCTGAAAATAACTATACTTAAGGTTGATTTTGAGAAAGCCTATGATCACGTGAATTGGGGATTTTTGGATTTTTTTTTTTTTTTTTTTTTGGAAAAAGGAAGAGGCAGATGCATAGGTGTCTCATTTCTTTGAACCTTTCAATTGTTGTTAATGGAAAGGTTCGAAAATTATCTAACAGAAGATGTGTGTGTGAAAATCATGTAATCTTAAAGAACTGGGAATTTCATCATGTGAAGATTGTTTCCTCTTTGCTGTTGTTAGATGGATGCTTGTGAAGTTGATTCTTTCTTGTTTTAATTCCTATAGTGTTTGCAAAAAACAATATTCTGCAGAGACATGATTCGTGGTTTATTTATTTATTTATTACATGTCAATTTTAAATTTCATTATTAACTTTGTTGTATCACATTTTCAGGAAACTAACTATGTTCCAATTACACGAGGGAGTAGAGTGGTGCTCATGATTAATGGGTATGTGCACATATATCTTTTCCCTAGACTGTAATGTAACCGAATTGAGTTATGAATACCGCATAAAATTATGTGGTTACTCAGTTTAGTTCTAGTTGGTCCCCTTATAAAAATGCTAAACGCTGAGAAATTCCCTTCTACTCCAATTTAAGTTTTAATCCTCACTGAAGGTTGCTGATCTGGGAATAAAACTTAGCTTTTGAAATGAGGACAGGATGCAATTAACTGTGCTATTAAGTTTTATAAATAAATAAAAAGAAATGCACCTTTTTATGTAATGCTTATAGATTTTACTTTATGTATAATGAAGTTCTATTCTTCACATCTTTCTAATTTGTTGCTAGGCTAAAAGATTTTGGGAGAAATTTCCCTTCACCTCATGTTCTGGTTTTACTTCCTTTGGGAAGTTCTGAGATACATAATTTGGTCAATGTTTCAGCAAATATTTACTTATGGAAAAAAAAAAAAAGGGTTCAAAGAAAGTATGAAGTGGAATGATTTTATGGTGATACAGCAAGAGCTGTAGAGTGCTACTTTGCCATGCTAATATAATTGTTGAGACTTTTGTATTGCAAACATCTCAAGTGCAAAATGTTGTGAAGTGGTAAATATTTGATGAATTCGAGGTTGAACCACAAGGATCGGTGTATTTCAATGCAAATCCGAGCAAGGAAGAAAAATAAAGAATAGATTGTTAGTTATTGTTGGATGAATTCCAAGAGTTTGAACAACCAAAAACAAATTTCGTGAAAACAATATTGAAAAGGCACTACTGCATCAAGGATCTCCCATCAATGTCTCTTTTGTAGTATTGCTAATTCAACTTTTATAACTCAATTGAGAAATACACAAAGGGTACTTCCAATCGGACGATTAAAAATATTGATTGCTTAAAAATCACAACAATAGATCAATTATTTTGATTGATTGATCTCACAATAAAACCTAGTTATTTGATTCGTAGGGAATTTCAGTCATGTTCATAAGCTTCTGTTTTGTTGACCTCTATTATGTGTAACCTTTCTAAGGCCATTTGTAGTCTGAGGTCTCTAGGGGTGAGGTCACCATACTACAGAAAGTTTTTTCGCCCTTAGATAGGACGTGATGTTTGTTATGTAATTGTATTGTAGGTTAGGTGCAACCCCTGTAATGGAACTGATGATTGCTGCTGGAAAAGCAGTTCCTAGGTTGCAGCTGGAACATGGGCTTGCTGTTGATAGAGTGTATACAGGATCATTTATGACTTCTCTTGATATGGCAGGTTCGTGGAGTTTGCTAGCTCTCTTTGGCTATCAAATGAAATATATTTTTCTCAGTTTTTCTTCTTGGGCAGGATTTTCGATATCTATCATGAAGGCAGATCAAGGAATTTTGCAACGTTTGGATGCTGCAACCAAGGCTCCATATTGGCCTGTTGGTGTTGATGGTTTGTGGTTGTGTTGAAATATGTTCTTTTTTAAACCCCTTCTCCTAGGGTCTTGAGTGACCCTCCAAAGGCATTGGCCTTGCAAACTTTTTACCTGTATAATATATTGCATGGTGGTTTAAACTGAATTATTTCCTTATGTATAGTTTTTTTTCCCCTCGCTCTCCTTTCAATTGGTCATTTAACTCAGGAATTACATTTCTTTACAGGTAATCACCCGCCAGCCAAGATTCCTGTTCCAATTCCACCTCATCATTCAACAAAGAGTGATGAGGTATGTTGAATAGGAAATATTTAATTCTGAGGGATTTGATCTTGAAATAGCTGCATTCTGTGAGAAGATATTTACTCATACTGCAGGGTTTTTCAGTAAATTTTTTTTGGGGGGTTTACTTATACTATGAATTGCTTTTCAGTTAGGCGATATCTTCGTCGTAAACGTGTCATTTATGTCATCTTCCCCTTTTTCCTGTAAGAGGAAGTCAACTGACATAAATTAAATATTTTAGAAGCACTATCTTTCACGACCAAACCCCACCCAGGAGTTAGAGCTGAGACCAACTAGTAATTGAGGCTACCTAAGGCCTGACCATAATCCAATAATGCAAGAAATCTAATTTAAGAATATGGAGAACCAAAATATAAACATAAATAAGAGCAGAAGTCAAATGATACTGTGGCTGAGCATGTGCCTAGTTCGTCATCTATCCGATGCACAACCATGGCTGAGCATGTGCCTAATTCATCTTCCATCTGATGTACAACCCTGTATTGCCCTTCCCATACATACACTACATTCAAGCCATTATAAATAAGCTATACCATAAATTACATTAATGTATAAAATTACATGATTAATTGATTTAAAATTACATTTATAGGCTATGCCATTTCTGTAAATGGGTATTGGGTTGAAGTCATTATCTCATACCACCTTATAAGTTTTGATTTCTTTCTTCTTATGCTTCTCTTCTCTTCTTTTTTACCTTCAATCTTAAAGTAAACAAACGTGTTGCCACTTGCATAAATTACACGAGGGAATTTTGGAGAGGGAGCAATGTATTCCTGAGATTGTTTGTCAAATAACTTGCTCTCTAAAAATTGAGATTTGAAAAAGGGTAAATTACGCTAACCTCCCTTAGGGTGTGGGAAAAATACGACAAACCCTATAAGTTTGATATAATTATATTGTTGGTCATATGGGTAATGATTTTGTCATCTCTTATGCACTGAAATATATGTTTTACCCTTATTTATTCTTGTTTCCACACACCATTTACATTAGTTTTGTTTGCTTTACTCTTACTAAAAGGGTGGTTAGTGTAATTATGTCAAACTTGTGGAGTTTATTGTATTTTTTTTAACCGTAGGGGAGGTCAGTATAATGTACCCTTTGAAAAAAGATGAGAATGATCAGACTTGCTGAAATTTAGTGAGCTTTGATTAGTCAAAAGAGACTTTGATTTTAGACTAATATCACATTGATATATTCTCAGGCTCACATTAGCTTCAATTAATCTGATATGTTATGAATAGAAGATAAAAAACACAAATATGGAAACATATTTCTATTGTAATTCATTTGAAACTACTCTGAATGAATCTTGCATGTGTAATTTGTCTATCAAAGAGAGAAACAAAACATTTATGAAAGTGATATAAGTGACTTCGTCATTTACACCACTCACAATACCAATGTTCTTGTGGGTGTAATATTCTTGTTCTTTTTTTTTTCATTTTTTTTTCTTTTGGCTAAGAAGAGGGATGGGATTGGTGCTTAGTGGAAGGAGAAGTCGTTTAATAATAATGACATCTTCTTTGCACATTAGTATTGATTTATATCATTAACATGTATAGTGAAGAAAACAATTTAATATACACTGCTGATGGCATGGACAAGACAACCTGATACACTATTACTAACAGTTTCCAAGTGCCAATATAATTTTATTAGTCTTTTGAAGTGCACATGTTTCAAACTTTGGAACACAATGAGCTGTACAGTGAACATCAATGATGACTTTCCATAATGGTAAAAGCAAATATTGTTTTTGTGCGTTGTCTTGTGACTTATAGTTGTTCACCTCTGTTTCTGCTTTGGATTAGTCATTGAGTAGCCCACAGCAGCTAAATCAACAAGGCCGTATTCTTGAGGCGGCTATTGAAGCAGCAGCAAGTGCAGTCATCAATCTCAGGGACAGTTTAAATGAATGGGACAGCAAAGTAGGCGATGGCGACTGTGGGTCAACCGTAAGTCTCTTAATTACACTGTATGGTTGTCTCCTGTCCTTGTTGATGCATGGTAGGCTGCATGCTGTGTCTAATTCATCGCGTCTTACAGATGTTTAAAGGTGCAACAGCTATTCATGAAGACATGAAGAAGCAGTAAGTTTCATCGGTTTTAATTATTCATATAATTTTTTATGTTGGTGATTTTTCTTTAATCAAAGAAATTAATCCATTTACATTGGAACAGGAATTATGTACATATGACATTTTTTGTGTACCTGCATTCGAATTACTGTAATTACTTTAGTCAAATCTGTTGAGATCATTTTCCCGTTTTAATAAAATTTTGTTGTTATTCAAAAAAAAAAATCTGTTGAGATCATCAGGGATGTAATCATAGAGTAGTCTCAAAACTGCTTGACCAAGAATTAAAATATAATTAAATTAAGAAGGTAATTTATGAGTTGTGATACCCGTGCCGTTGTTGCACAATCATAGTTTTCTTAATGAGATTTGTTTAATTCTTTTTCAGAGCTCTCAAGCTTGCCTTGTACATAATACCCTTGATAAAACCTTTGTGAAGAATCTTTCAAGTTATATACAGTTTAATATTGCAGACTTCATATTTTAACGATTAAATTGACTTCAAACAATTTATGATTTTTTAAATGTTTTTTAATCTGCTTGATTTTGTTACATAAAGGGTGGGCATATGGATTATATACAAACCAAATATTTGTAGTGATTGGCTCTGAAAATTGTTTTTCCTTTCTCTTATCTTCTAATTTTCAGTATATCTATAAAAATTATTAAATTTGTCGAAGTGTTGTACTTGTTAAGTGTTGACTGAAAAACTACAGGCTTGGGAGATGCTGGCCTTGTTTGGTTTGTATCTAGAGATACAACTTTTGAGAAAAAATCTTAAAAATTTGTTTGGTTAAAAATTTTTGAAAAAAAAAAATTTTCAAAATTACTTTTCTCTTTACTACATATCAATCTTTACTACATATCAATCATTTTTTTCTCTCTTCCCTCTCTTTCTCTCACATCCTGTACATCAGTCAAGTACTTTTTCTCTCACACCCATCTATTCAGCTACAAAAATAATAAATAAATAAATCATCCCAAACTCCAAAATTATTCTCAAAACATATAACCAAACAAATTTTTAAATTTTGTAAACTCTTTCTAAAAAATTATTTGTCAAAATTGTTTACAAATACAAACCAAACATGGCCGCTATCTTTTATTTATAGTTCATTTTAAATCTTGCTGATCCCAGCAGTTGGGATAATGCTTGTTCAGTAGATTTTCAAATAATTAAGAAGGTGGCTTTTGACTTCATCGATCTTACAGATTTAATCTTTCCACCCTTAGTGTGATGGTTGGTGTATGCTCATCAATTCAACCCAAAGAAAAAAAAAAAGGAAAAAGATTATCTGGAATTTGTAATTTAAACTTCTGACTGAGAAGTAAGAAGTCGATGCTTAAACTTTAGGGCTTGAAGTATTGGTGAAAGCATCTTGCCTTCCTGTGAGTCTAACTTGCGCCCATTAAGTTTTTTCATTGTTTGGCATCCCTTGTATTAAACTGTTTATGTCCTCCCAAAATGTGCATTGAAATAGTATTTGAAAATGTAGATGGGTGGAAGGTTTTTTGTTGGTGTCATGTTACGATTGATAATTGCATTTGATACAATTCAATTTCTGATTTCCTTCTGCAACACTAACCTGAATAAGTATCATTTAGACATGGCTGATTTCATTCAGGAGAAGGTATTCAAGTTGCTGCTTTTCCATGGTTACTTAATTGTGCTAGTGTTGGTATTTTCTGGAGTTTCAAGCAAGGTTTACTTGGAACTGAATACATGCTTCTGTGTTGTCAAATATAATAATAGTCATTCCACATTGCTTTTTTTTTTCTTCTTTCCAGAACACTCTTATAGGACTCCACTTAACTTCCTTGTTTTTTTGTCTTTTTAATATATATATTTTTAATGCTTTTGTTTTCATTTCTTTTCTTTTCACTGTTGATTGTGCAATAGCTTTGTTGATGCTTTACACTGATCATCACTCCCAAGGAAAGTCATAGACATATGGGGGCTAATCTTCATTGCTTAATTTCTGTTTTCCAGTTATCCTCTGAATGATGCTGCAGAAACAGTGAACGAGATTGCATCTTCTATCAGCAGAGTCATGGGAGGAACAAGCGGAATCATGTATGAAGTATTCCCTGCCTTTTAACTTGCAGCTTTAGTTCATGTCTTTGATAGTTTGGTCATTTTAGTTAGTCCTAATTTTGTGCATTTTCAAAGCCATGCCTTTTAGCTTGTGGCCATACAGTTCATCTCTTTGATAGTTTGGTCATTTTAGTTAGTCCTAATTTTGTGCATTTATGCCTTTGAAACAGTTATGATATATTCTGTAAGGCTGCATATGCATGGTTGAAGGCAAATAGCCACTCAGTTGTTACACCATTGCAATGTAAGATGATTTCAGATGCAAAAGTCCCTAAACTTGTTCGCGTTAAAGGAATGACTATTTGGTTACTTAATGACCCTTTTGGTATAGGGGCTGATGCACTTGAAGCTGCCATTGCTGCAGTCAGTAAATATGGAGGGGCTTCTGCAGGTTATCGCACATTGTTAGATGCCCTCATTCCAGCATCGGCAGTTCTTAAAGAGGTCACCATTAATGGTTAACATTTTTTCTATTTTTATTTGATTTCCTTTTGTTTAGCTACTGATATATTTATTTCACAAACAGCGTTTAAGTGCTGGGGATGATCCTGTCAATGCTTTTGTTCTCTCATCTGAAGCAGCATTGGCTGGAGCTGAGTCCACTAAACACATGCAGGCACAAGTGAGATTCTAGTTGATCCTTTTCCCTTTCAATTTATAATCCGTTGTAGTTTGTTCTTCTTACTTCCTATGAACATCATTACTTCAAGAAATGAGAGTTGCCGTAGAACACTATGGTAGTCTCTGTGCTTTTCTTGATAGACAGAGAAATTAAAGACACATTTCCACTACTAGAATTAGGAAAGATTTTCTTGGATGTGATAGTCTAAAGCAAGATGCATTTTCAAAATGACAATGGTGAAGGTGTAGCTAATCAGATGGACCAAAAGAAAAGGTTATTTAAAGAAAATTGAAAATATTGTACTAGAAACCTGTTCTTGTAGCTGTGTTCCCCCATGTCTATGTCCTGTACTTTTAAGAATGTGTTTGTTTGTGACCATTCCTCGTAGACATGGAGTTATAGGAGCTTTTGAGTTGTAAAACAATTCAGTCTAATTTCATTTGTTTTCGCTACTTATTTTTTGTGCATTATATTGCTTTGGCATTCTATGGACCATCTAATGATATGGAGTTCAGGAACCTTGTGAGGCTTGAAGAATCTCATAGTGCTCATAATTTATCATGGTTTCTAGTGTAACAAGCATTTCCAAAGGAAATGGAGAAATTTGGTGGCTATGCATTCTTTTCATCGTATTTCAGGGCAGTCCCTAGCAGCAATCCAGTATTAAAAAGTTATTTGCAGAGTCATATATTGAGGACAGTTTAATCTTATGTTGTACAGTATCTCTTAGGAACTTTTATATGCTCTCCGTTGTATATCATTATCATTCAATCCTTTAAAGAAAACTTATCAAGACACATCTAATACTTGAGGGAAATCAGCAGGTTGAGTTCAGAAATTCTCTAGTCTCGAAGACCGTCCCTCTGAATTTGTTGTGTGAAGTCCACTATAAGTAAATCGATAAACACTACATTTCACTGCATTGATTGACAAGTGTAGAAACAGTGAATCACTTTTACAGCCTTTCTTATCCTTCTATGCATCATTATTGAATCATGTGCAATTTAACTTAAATACAATTGCTCCTTTTAGGCACTTGATTTTGATTATTGTTAAAATTGTATTGGTTGTTTCTGCCCACCAATGAATCTTGCAGTGATCAATATTTCTCTTAACAAACATGAAAAAGAAATAAGGAAACATGTATGCAGGAAGAATTATCATGGACCGAAAATCTCAGCTATATGCATTATTAGCTTTGTCAGTTTAATGCTGATCGGTTTGTACCTCGTGCAGTGCATTGCAGATTTTTGTTACAGTCTATTAAACTAATTTTTCTGAATAATGTCATTGTTCAAAGTTAATGCACTTGTTTACATGTTATACATGGAGGTCTGATCAGTTGGCTTTGTAGGCTGGGCGTTCGGCATATGTCTCTGGAGATATTCTTGCGTCAGTTCCAGACCCGGGTGCCATGGCTGCAGCTTCGTGGTATAGAGCGGCAGCCTTAGCTGTGAAGGACAAGTACCAGTCTTCATAAGCATATATATGGGCTCCAAACTACCAACCAAGTAAAAACATGTTCATAACATATACCTTTCTAACCATTCTAGAGCTTTCCGCTTATGCGCTATGCACAATGCTGAGAGAGTGAGGTTCATCAATACATGTCGAAATTTCATTTTAGTGGAGTGCAACACATCTAAAAATCTATGCGCTTTCTGTCGTCGTAATTTTTGTTATAAATTTGATTCTTGAGGACTTGTGTTGAATCATATGCGGATAAAAATCATGGTGATACAATATAGTCGAGAGGAATGTTTATTTATTTCTTAAATCTTTTTTTTTTGGAGTAAATAGTTATAGAGGATTATGCTCCTTTGCACATAGTCCTTTTTTTTACTCCTCTTTTGCATTGGTGCACATCTCTATGTGAGGGGTTATGGATATAGTATTTGGGGTCACCCTGTTGCATTAGTGGACCTCATAACCCAATAATAGTATGGCATCAAAAAATATTAGATAGTATTGGACATCATTTACATGGTATTTTTGATAAATGAAAAATTACAAAACATGAGACCTTGGCTTTATTGGTTTTTTTTTTTTTTTTTTGAACTCTTTTACCCAAAAAATTGGTTGTTAAACGGTGCCAAAATCACAGAAGATTGACACTAGGGAGAGAATTTGCACCATTAACTAATATTAGGGAGATTTAAAATTTTACAATAACATAATCAGAATTGGATCTTAGTTGAGTCTTAAATGAATTAGTAAAAATATTTTAGGGATTTAAAATCCCATTGAGCATAGACTAAGATGAGATTATATCCAACTACCTTTTGACCTACAACTTCCATTGACAAAAATCTCTAGTTTGATTTTGATAGTGTAAATTATCATCTTGTCAATTGGCTCGATTTTAGAAGTTAGTGTGCTTGTTTGGTAGAGTTTTTTTTCAACTTATTTTAGCTTTTAGCTTGATTTAAACTGTTTTATTGTGTTTGGTATATCTTAATAATATAGATTATAATTTTCTGTAAGTCAAAAATCAACTTTTTCTTGAAGTGGCTATGGAGGTGCTTAAGAGATTCAGCTTAAGTAGTAAGCTGGGAAGGGAGGGACAAAATTACTTAAGACCCCCTCATCAACTTCAACTATTACCAAAAATCCACATATAAAAGAGTTATACAGAACACTGTTCACTTCTTCAGAGAGAGAACTTGAGAGGCGATTTTCGGCATGATTTTTGGCGGCAATTTCCAATGGCGTGAACCAAAACTAGCTCTCTTTCTCTCTCTCTTACGATCTCTTCTTTCACTCATTTACGAACCAATCATAACTCTACTTTCATCAAAAACCCTAATTTTCCAAACCCAATTCAATTATCGTTCAACAGATACACCCATTCTAATCACCCAATCAATGACCAAGAAGAAGAATCAAAGGATGATGGAACCATAAATGAGTTCTTGTCTCGATTCGTGTGGATAATGCGTGGTGAACTCTCTGAGGTCTACATTGACTGTGACAAAAAGATAATTGATGGAATGCTTTTAATCATTGTTGGGAAGGCTGTATCAGAAATGGAAAAGGGTGGCTTGAACAAATGCTTGGATCAGTTGTGGCAACCCCATCCCATGATGATTTCAGTGAGGATCTTTAGAAAACAGTTTGGGAGATTAGCAATGAGGTATTGGATGACATGAACAAGGCTAGGAAGAAGGGGAAAATGAAAAGGTTTCTTCAATTTGAGGAAGTTAAGGAAATGTGTAGATTTGCAGGTGAAGTGGGTATTTGTGGGAATTGACCTTCCGCCATCTCGATCTTAATCCCTCATTGTGATCGATCTGTGCCTTCATCGTCGTGTCTCATCTCCCATCACGATCGATGGAGAAATGATCTCGGTAAAGCTCTTTTTCCGGTGAACCAGAGCGCTCTCTCTCTCTCTCTCTCTCTCGCCGGCATTGTTCCGTGTCTGCGATGGAACGACGGCAAGGGATGAGAGGAGAAAAATGGGTTAGACACGGAACAACGCCAAGGGATGAGAGGAGAAAAATGGGTTGCCGGAGCATTTGCCTTTGTTGGAGAACAACGGCGGCTAGGGTTTTTAGTGTTTCTCTAATAATAATAATAATAATAAAGCATTTTAAGCCATTAATGAAATAAATTTTATTGTAATTGATACTAATTAAGCCATTAATTAATAATAAATAAAAATGAATATAAAAAAAATAATATGTTATGAAATCACAACATTAATATAAATACATGAATATAATTAATGTGTAAGAAGAGAAGAACAAAAAAGAAAATAAAATAAAATGAAGAAAAAGAAGAAAAAAAAATTAAGAGAATAAAAGAAAAATAAAGAAATAATTTGCACAATTTATTTCACAATTAATATTGATATAAATTGCACAATTGCACAGTTTATTTCAATTAATATTGATATAAATTTATTTCAATTAAATAACTTCTATTAAAAGAATAACAATTGCTATATTATTAATTGTAATGAAAAAAAATTAATAAAAACATAATCACAAATTTTTTTAAAAAATTAAAATTGAAGAAAAAATGAAGAATGTACCAAATTAGGTACTAATTATATCAACTTCCATTAATGAAATAATTTTTTCAAAATTTAAAGCGAAGAAAATGACAAAATTATAATTTTTTTGTTCATAAGGGCAAAAATGACAATTATACAGTAAACAACTATTTTACAGCTTATTTACCAAACATTACTCTGCTGCTTAAATTCATAATCCTATGGCTACATCAAACAGGTTACCAACTTATGTCATAATCTATAATCACTTTTCTCCAGCTCTACCAAACAGGGCTAGTGTTGGTTAAAAAAAATTATTTTTAATTGATTTGGTAAATTAATTTCTCATCAAAAAGTTTAATTCAATCGTTTTAAAAAGCTATTAAAAAGTAAGAAAAAAAATAGGAATGTACCAAACAAAAACATTTTTTAGTAATAGTTTTTTTGTAATTGTATTTTCAGTCAATAAATAAGGTTCTCAGCTAAGCTGCAATTGAAATTAAAACCATTATCGGAGTAATTTTCCGTCAATGAAGGTTTTGAGCGAAAGGATCAGAACGCCTTTTTGAATGGGCTCTGGTCCAAAACCGAAGACCCAATTGGTTTATAAATTATGAAAAACAAAATGAGAGTTAGTTTTTTTTTTTATATATTTTATAATTTGTTATTAAAAATTTATTTTAATAGATGACAGGATAATATCCCTGTGTGATTTTAGTTTTAAATTGAATATTAATTTGACACAATTAAATATTAAAATATTTTTTCAATTTTTAGGAATTACTTTTGCCTTAAAAAAATGTGAAAAAAAAAATTAAGATAACGTTTGGTTTACTTTTCAAAACTCAATAAGCTTGCTTGGTTCCCATTTTCTAAAAATAATTTTTAGAAAATTCAACTTTCATATTTTTCGTGTTTTTTTGTTTTTACTGAATTTTTTTAATATTTTATACAAATTTTTTACTTTTTAGACACACCTAACATAAATACACCTAAAAAGTAAAAAAATTGTAAAAAAATCTTTTAAAAATTCACTAAATACCAAAAATACAAAAAAAAAATACAAGAATTCAGTACATTTTTTGTATTTTTATGTGTTTCTTAATTTTTTAAAATATTTTTTCAAATTTTTTTTACTTTTTAGATACATCTAAGTAAGGTGCATCTAAAAAAGTAAAAAAAAAATTAAAAATTTAAAAATATTCACTAAAAACAAAAAAACACGAAAATCAAAAAACTCAGTTTTTAATCCAAAAAACTCAAACCAAACACACTGAATGTTGTTTTTAAATCATAATTTGGGTTAAAACTCATAACCAAATAAAATTTTTAAACACACACTCAAAATTACTTTCAAAACTCATATCTTCTCTTCTCTTTTTTATTTTATTTTATTATTATTAAAGAGTGGTACTATTAGTACTACATGAATTATTTTAGACCCCTCATTTCTTTGGACCTCCACTTATAAATTTTGAAACCCTTAAAATTTATTTTTCTTCCCCAACCAAAACCAAAATTATCATTGTGAAAATATTTCACACATTGAATGCACATTCCTCACACTCTAAAGAAATCCCACTTCCAAAAAAATCCTAAAATGCCCACAAAGAAGAAAAAAAAGTGGCAATGTGATTACTGTTTCTACTACCTCATCCACTATTGTCACAGTTGGTATGTTCTCTCTCTCTCTTTCTCTCTCTCTCTTTATATATATATATATATATATACACACATATAATTTCTAAGTTTTCTCATAATAATTTTTTTTCTTGTAGAAAAAAAATTATAATAATTGGTTTAGTTTTTTCAATAAAACAGGTCTAAACCTAATGTTCGGTTACCGGTTCTCGAACAAATAAATAATGTTCGGGTCTGTGTTCCCGAATTTTGATCATATGTTTGGGAGTTCAGTCAAAAAAAAAAAATAATGAACATATTTTATTATTTTTGTCATTTTTTTCAATAAACTTACCCTTACAAGACTAATCTTCTCTAAGTTAAGAATAACATCAAAGTTATGAACCTCCTCTAAACTTTTATTGTTATATTCCTCTCGTCTTATAGAGTTGTGGTTGCTAGATAAACTTCCACTCTTTGTCATTGCCGAAAAAGTGTATGTAATCAAATGGTTGTCACCGTTATCGTCAAAATATTGCCGCCAAAGGGTTTTCAAGGTTTTAAGGTGCCTCCATTTGAGGTGTATTATGGTCTTATTTTTGTGATCCAAACCGTCCATTTTGTAGGGTTTGTTGAGTATTTCATACCTAGCAAAAGTCATATTAATCGGATATCAACAACTATATGATGGAATGATATCCGATTAATATGATTTTTGGTAGGCATGAAGTACTCAACAAACCCTACAAAATGGACGGTTTGGATCATAAAAATAAGGCCATAATACACCTCAAATGGAGGCACCACAGTCTTCACGCACAGCAGTGACCCCTTATCCTTTAAGGATGAGTAGGTTTTGAAGGTGGGATTTGGAAAAGATGGATGGAGGGTGATGGAGGTGGGTGCTCTCATAAATCTTAATTCATGATGTAGTAGGTATGTAGGTTTAATTGTAAGATGAGGTGTCCCAAAATTAATGATATGTTTTGCAGTAATTTTATTTGATGTTATTATTGTAATAAAAAAAGCTAAAAATTAGAGGTTCAGAATAATTTATGAGGTGCTAACACTGTTATTATTATTATTAATCAATCAATCAATATATTTTTTTTTCTCATCTCTCCTCTCACATTTCATACATTAATCAAAAAAAAATTACAAATCATCCAAAAAATTATTTTCAAAACCCATAACTAAATAAATTTTTTCTTTTCAAATCAGGATTTAAAAATTCAAAATACAATTTCAAATTTAAATCATAATTTTAAAACTAAAACAAACGAACTTAATTTTTTTTTTTCTTCCATAAACCATATTTTGAAAAAAAAAAAAAAAAAAAAAAACTGCAAAAACAACAGGAAATTTGCAAGGAAGGAAGAAAGAAGGAAAGGGGCGTTTTTTGAGTTAGCAGCAGCAGCGTAGTCCACAAAAATCTATCCTAAATTCCACTCCCTTCTATGGCTCCGGTTGCTCCCAGATCTGGCGACGCCATTTTTGCCAATGTTGAGCGCGTGGTACCATAACTCTCTCTCTCTCTCTCTCTGTTTGTTTCCCGGGAATTATACGAAAATGAAAATAAACGATATTCTTTCCGATCCATTTGTATTTTTTAACATGGCCGTTCTCGAATTTTTCTTTCTTGCTATTTTCCTAGGAAACGAATCCGCCATATATATCTATTTGAAAACGTTGACTAGGTCCTGTCAAATTTGATTGATTACAGAACGCCGAGCTCTTCACCCTAACCTATGGAGCCATCGTGCGTCAACTCCTTACGGATCTGGAGGAGGTTGAGGAAGTCAACAAACAGCTTGATCAAATGTATATATCTCTCTCTCTATATATATATTTATATAAACCACTATTGACATTCCTGTTAGAATTTTTAGTTGATTTTGTTTGTTTGAAGATCGTTTGAATAATAGTTTGATAATGTGCAATTGGATGCCTAATTCTTTTGCAGGGGTTATAATATTGGAATTCGATTAATTGATGAGTTCTTGGCAAAATCCAATGTCTCCAGATGCGTTGACTTCAAGGAAACAGCTGAAGTAATCGCAAAGGTCCATTATTATCCCCCATTGTTGTTTCCTACCCAATAATATATATATATATATATATATATAATTGTTACTATTGTTGTCTGCTTTAATATTGACATGGTAGATTAGTTAGAAATGGGAAACAGTATATCACTTTTATTTCTAAATTGTGAAACAGAGTCCATTGTATACACTAGTTTTAGGTTTTCTGTTAGCTCTTTAAATCAGAAAAATTTTTTAAAAAAAATAAAATAAAATCGTACAATGGTAATCTACATGTTTCTGTTAAGTAGGTAGAAGAGCGAGGTGGCAATGACTAATTTACCTTTCAGAATGTGGCCTTGTAGTTTGTGCTCTCTAGTTTAGGTTTGGTTTTGTGTTGTGAGATGTTGTTTCGTTTGGATTAGTCTCTTGGGCTGTGAGGGTTTCATCTTCTTTTCTAGGCTAGGTCTTTTGGATTGCTTACCCTTGAGGGTTTTGCAGGTTCACCTTCATGGGAAGTGTTTTCAGTTTCATTTATGTATTTTATTTTGGTTAATAGACCCTTTCTTACCAAAAAGGGGTGAGTGGATAATAGGAATTTTGTAGTTCTTTTGAAAAGGATTCAATATGAAGATTCTGCTGTGTGGAGATGTGAGAAAGCATGGTGATTAATAAAAGAGGAGCCAGAGACAACTTGAGATGGTTACCTTGAGGATTGAACTAAATAAGTAAAGATAAATTTGTTATAAAGATACTAGATAAATAGAAAAAATAAAAAGATGTTATGATATACTTCAGACTTGTCATATCATTTCATCTTACTGTCATAGTATTTTTGGTGTCTATCTTCAAATATTTGGTTTTTTCATTCATTAGCTAGCAATACTTGCAAACAGGTTGGTTTCAAAATGTTCTTGGGGGTCACTGCATCAGTGACCAATGTGGATGCTGATGGAACCTGTTGCAGTCTTATTTTGGAGGATAACCCACTAGTAGACTTTGTTGAGCTTCCTGATACATGCCAAGGTCTATATTATTGCAACATCTTAAGTGGAATTATTAGAGGAGCACTGGAGATGGTAAGCTTTTCCCTTGTATCAAACTATTTCAGATCTCCCATTTCTAGTTTCTTTACGTTATGACATTTTTTTCTTTTGTTTTGGATGATTGACCTGATTTTAGTTTTCTGCACATTGCATCTTTTGAATTTTGCATTTTTATATGTGAAATATATATAAATTTTCTTACGGCGCAGTGGCTTGTGCTAGGATAGGATTCCTATGTACTTGCGGCAGTGACTACATCGCCTGTGATGAAGTTGCTTAACTCACTACAGGAACATGATTGCTCAAACATGACTTAGGAAAACCATATGTCCCGTCTTTGACTACAATATTATTACATATAATGAAATGTCAATGGAGGGCAGGAATAACATGATTGTTATCTATTTTTCTTTTTTCATGGTATTAAAGGCATTGTCATCTTTTATCTGTAAGAAGCACCATTTCACGCCTTGCTTCCTCGAACTGCCTTATTTTCTTTTAATGCATGTCTTTTTTTCTTTTTTCATGGTATTAAAGGCATCGTCATCTTTTATCTGTAAGAAGCACCATTTCACGCCTTGCTTCCTCGAACTGCCTTATTTTCTTTTAATGCATGTCTTTTGTCATTTTGAAATTTAATTGTTATTAAAATTAATTCTTAAGGATTCCATCATTCCCTGTAGTTTTTGCAATTCTGGTTTCTAGAAATCTTGTCTAGTCCTGTTTCTATTTCCCAGAAGACAACATTTTGACTATGATAGTGGTTTTTTTGTCAAATTGTCAAGGGATGGAAGATAAAAATTGATTACTTTGAGAGTGCTTGAGCTCTTTAGAATGTTTTCTTTCATATTAAGACATCTCAAATGCTCATTGCACAAATTACCAATGACGATCTCAAAAACAGGTATAAGAAGGGAAGACAATTTCATGTTGTGGACATCTCAGAGAAAACAATAGAATGAGAGAGAGCTAGGACCATGAAAGGAAGCATAAATAACAAAAATAAAAGAAAAAGGAGAAGAAAGAAAAAATAAATAAAAACCAAAAAAGGGCAGATATAATGAAGGGAAGCGGAAATACTTTTAATTACACAAACGATGTTAATAAAATTGAATCTAAAAAGAAAGGACATGGGGGCCTTCTGCTATCTTTGGTGAGTATTGCATGTCCAATGCTCGATTGGGTCAAGAACGGATCATTGCTCTTTATAAAGATGCTCAGTACTGATTTTGTTCCCCATGCTCAGGTGTCAATGAAGACTGAAGTCACGTGGCTCCGTGATATGCTTAGAGGGGATGATGCATATGAGTTGCAGGTCAAACTTTTGAAGCTAGTTCCTGAGGAGTATCCATACAAAGATGATGAGTAAACATGCTAGGCTACGCAGACTCTCATATATTGTATATACAATTTATGGTTTTCATGTCATCCCTATTACCTCTAATAACAGATTTTCATCTGCTGTTTTTATTTTAGAATTTACAATTGCTTTATCTTAAAACTCTTATGGGAATTTTGATTAGATTTTGGAGATTTCACATCTGTTTTTTGTAATTTCTGAAAATACTTAACAGAAAGTGCATCCTGTCAAAAGTTATTTCTTGGAAACTTTCACCAATTTTTATTATATGCTCAGACTCAGAGCATGAATTTAGAATTTGTGGAAGCCACAGCATTTGATAGCTTATTCGATGCATAAACTGAAATTGTTATGATGAACTTTCTTATTCTTCCATGTGTTATGTCAACTGGAGGTTCAAGCCCAAGTGGTTACAATAATATTTCCTGTTTATACATTATCCTGAATGCCATTGTTGATTGATAATGTAAAGCAACACTAACAAATACAAGTTTTGTATAGTGGTCTCTAGTCATGGCCTGCTGTATTTTTGAATATGAGCCTGATAATAGAAACTCATCTTTATTTTACCCCCTATTTTGATATATGCCCGACACTCCAAAAATCATCTAGCAGGTCTAGAACATTATGTGTTCATTTTCTCATCCAATAATAATTTATATTTTGTCCAGCCGGCCTTTATTTTAGGGCCATATATCTAGTCCGCATAATAATTTATATTTTGTCCAGCCGGCCTTTATTTTAGGGCCATATATCTAGTCCGCTGGCTTAACTCACTCGGGTGTGTCATCCATGCATGTACCCCCTTTGTTTTTTTTCCTTTTTTTTTTTTTGGAGAAACAACAAAACAAAGATATATTAAGTTGAAAAGTTGTTTACAGAACGAGCTAGAGTATTAGTGACTATATTTATATGAATTCTTGAAAATAAATTAATATTCATGGACACTTGGACAAGGGGGTGTGATGTGTTTGATGCTTTTTACCTGGTACTTCTTATATATTTGTATTTAACATTATTATTATATAAATTTATTATTGTACAATTACTATAAAAAAAATTAAAATGTCTTTTTGAGACTATTTGTTATGTATAACACCATTTCATCTTACATAATATATTAAAAATAAAAAATAAAAGATAAATGATTATGTTTTGTTGAGTTCGTGTAGTCTTAAATTTGATATTTGTAAAGTTTGACCTCTGAGACTGTTTGTTATGTATAATACCATTTCATCTTACATAATATATTAAAAATAAAAAATAAAGATAAATGATTATGTTTCGTTGAGTTCGTGTACTCTTAAATTTGATATTTGTAAAGTTTGACCTCTAACCCGAATCCATGTAAACACAAGGCAAGAATACTGGTAGGCTTCAAAGTTGTAGTCAAACCTTATAAAACCTAAATGAATACAATGAAGGATAGCCACAATAGCAGGTACCCCAAGCAGCAACTTGAGCAAAGGTAAAAAAGACTGATCAGATTAAGAAGAGTGAAAATTTGGAAAATAATACACTTACACACAGAATCATCATACAAATATAGATGGTGCTGCGTCGTGTCAAAGTTTCAGCAAAAAATTATCATACTTTATTCATACAGATACAAGTCGCTAGCAAAGCTTCAAAAAGTGGTCATTAGCCCAAAATTGAACTTGCTAATGCTACCCCAAATCGCACAGAAAGCTGGATTGGTGGTTGGCGTCTCTCTCTCTCTCCCCACATGAGCACAGTCGAGCACGACTCAGCCAATAACCTTAATAGACTCTACAATTCAACCAATCAATAATGGTTTCCACGATCATTTCTCGTTCGGGTTCAAATAGTAGATCATGCAAGCATCCTTGAAGCAGTTTGATGGTTTTGTCAGTTGAGGAGGCTTCTTCATATAGTTTTTTAGAAGCCTCCGGGTCAGTAATCGTGTCAGTGGTACCATGGAGAACTAGAAATGGCACTTTCAATCTTCTCAGATTCTGCTGCAAGTATGTCGTGATTCGGAGAATCTCATAACCAGTCCTTATCCTGATGGATCCGGTATAAACCAGTGGATCCGAATACTTTGCCACCAGTGCTTCTGGATCCCGACAAACCACCATTCCCTGCTTGTTTGCAGCTCTTAATTGCAATCTTGGAAACAACCAGGAGAAAACTGGGGCAAGTACCTGCATCATGCCATCATTCATCAAGGACGTGATTAGGAGAGATATTCAAGTAAGGGTCGTCATTTGGCCTCAAGGCTCAAAGTACAACCTACACCTGCCTGGCCCAAGCCCGTACCCTAAGCATTTTGAGCTTGCCTGAATAATGCTTGGATTGGAGCTGGGCTGGGCCTACGTGTTGAGGCCGAACTTGTGAGAGATAGTTTGCTGGCCTGACCTCGGAGCTTGGTAGAAAATATAAAAGTATAAGAAAAAATATGAAAGAAATAAATAAAAGCCGGAAGGATGTCCAAATCTTGCCCTATTGGGCTAGACCCATGGCCTGTCCGCTAGCCCACTTGATGCAAGCCCATTTGGACAAGGCTTAGGCCTAAAGTTTTTGCCCCGGCTTGGCCTAACCGGAACAAGCTTGCTGGGCTTAACCCACAGGCAGGCTTGGGCCCCCATTTTGTGGGCTGGTCCGGCCCAGCCTGATGCCGACTCTCATATTCAAGACTACTTAGTTTTTTGGATTCATAATTTCAAAAGCCATAACAAATGATAAGGAAAATGGGAAATATGATTAAAAGAAAAAATAAAAAGTTACTCTTACTGTAAAAATTGGATGGGATGGTTGAACTCCTACTGCAGGGGAAGTGAGCACAACACCAGCAATGCAGGCTTCAATATTTGGGTCCAGTACTGCCTACAATTATTCATGTGAAACAATACAAACTTAAAACATTCCTAGACTCACAAGCTTATATATATATATATATATATATCAATATCAAAAATCAACAAACATGTCAAACCAACCTCACCTTAAGGATTATGGCTCCACCAGTGGAATGCCCAAAGCAAAAACATGGAAGTCCAGGATTTTCAGCTACAACTTTTCCAATAAATGATTTCTACGTGCACGAAAGCAGACGAATTAATGATACATCCCATTTTAAATGTAATCTTATATATGCATCTTTTAAGGGGAGTCTCAACGCATACCGTGTCCGCAACAGCTTCATCAAGAGAGTGAACATATGCATGCAGCCCATCACTTCCACCGTGTCCTAAAACAAGATGAGTTTGAATCAATTATTGAAAATATTGAAGTACATAAACAGAATATCACGTGAGAAAGAGAACAATAAGAAGAGGAAACTAGAACTGAGATTTGCTCAAGCAAATAACCCAGTCAATGATGTCCTATATTTCAACACACCCCCTCCCCGAAAAAAAAAATAAAAAATGAAAGAACTGAACAAAGCCAAGAGAAAAGAAAAGGTTAATGTTCATCATGCACGCGCACACGTGCGCACGCAAGAGCAAATTGAACACCACATATCAATTTCAAAAATTGCACTAAAAAGGGGGTCAAATGATGAAGAAACTGATATGCCATTTAGCTTATTCTATGAGCATAGTAACTATCATGGAAAGTATAGTTCTCCGATTATGTTTTAATTCAAATATGAATTGTCAGTCCTTCTATGACCTAATTTACAGAGATCATGTGAGCTTACTTAACCACAAGCCTTTTTCCAGTGGCCAGCGTTAGAATTAACCTACAAACAAGTTCGGTCTAAAATTTTGACAGCATATAAAAATTTCAACTCCATAAAGAATCAATAGAATGCTTTAATTTGGCATGAAGCAGGGGGGAAAAAAGTTTATAGAAAAGCACACTAGCACTAGATTTATGTTACTGCACTCTCTCAAGGCTTCAAATTTCCTTAACTAGCATGCCTCAAATGCAAAGACTCAAATAATAAGCTTACTTAATAACAGGAGCTTCACAATTTACTTTTTCGCACCAATGGCATCCAAATTGGTGTACACTCATCCCTGCAACATCCAAATATAGATATGCATAGTTGAAGAATCGTGTTCTCTAGACTTCAAAACATAAATTAAGAATAATAAGGCTGCTTCTTTTGAATGATTACCAAAAGGATGCATGGAAAGAGTGGATGCTATGTTTGAAAAAGAGGAAAAATGAGCTTGAAACTTCATGCTCGTTGCTCTTGACAGATCAAGTATTTCAGCCTCAGAAAATAACATGGGGGTGTTTGGCAAGTTGGGTTTGGGCTTTTTTTTGGCTAAAATCTACAAAAAATAGCAAATAAGACAAAATATCACATCAAACCCATAATCATTTCACTTTTTCTCTCACAAACATCACATCCAATTACAAAAAAATCCCACCCTCTTCCCAAACACAACTAAAATAGTCAACTTCCCAAACGAGGGTCATAGCATTTATACCATTGAATACTAATCATTTTAGTTTTTGTGCCCTAGTGTGGAATTTGACAATTCTATCCAAGAGGAAACACTGTTCTGAAATAGAAGATGATGAATGCGTGCACAACTAATAATATTATTCCCACTGGTCTTTACTAACTGTGTTTTTTTTATCACCACCTACTCAGATACTCGTGATTGGTTTCTAATTTAGTATTATAATCATTAAGAAAATAGCAAAGATGGATGATGTCTCACTTACCATTTACCTGGTGATATAAAATGATGAAAAATAGTGGACTTGTCTTACCTCAACATGTTAGCTAAAGCAAGTGCACCAGGTATGCAGGGAACAAATACTCTCAAATTCAATGGCTAGAAGAAATGTTCAAGATCCTAACTCAAGAGACAGAGGTCTTGAGTTTGAGAAATTACCCTTAAGACCATCCTAAGGGATTTATCTCAATGATTACCTGGTGTATATGGGACGGGTAAAATGTACTGTTCATTCCTAGGAGTCAGGAAGGTGGAAAGAGAAAACCTCTCTCTCTCAAAATTATTTTTTCTTCAGTAATATGATCTCTCTTAATATCTATTTACAAGAAAGAATTGAACCACCCAAAATTATTGTGGTTGCACTTGCACACAAACAACGTCAAAAAACGTGAAGAGTGTTTTATCTTTTCTGGTCCTTAAGATTCAAAAGTCTGCTGCTGCTCCTTTATGCTGGGAGAATAGGGAAGCCATTGACCACACATTTCAAACTTAATTCTCACAACATTCATGCCGAACTTGAAAACAAAGGTTCATTAATTCCATTAAAACAGAAAAGAAGGGAATTAAACAATTTCCAAATACATGCATCATCAAGTAATGACTTGAAACGATTTGTGGCATGCCACAGGGTAATGAGATTATGAATGAGATTGCAGTCATCGTGAAACTGATGCACACAATTTAGGCTCACTCACTAATATCTTATGACAGATTCACCAGCTCCAAGGAGTATCAGAGGGGGACCATTCAATCCTTGCGGAAGGAAAATAAAAATCCATCAAACTCAAAGTTGAATCATCTGTCAAATGTTTTCCCACAGCTAGAAGTTGCTAGCTGCAGGTGTGAAACCAAGGAATACTGACAACTAAGGCCCCGTTCAATTGTCAGGAAAAGAAAGTAAAGTATAGGAAAATCACCTTTTCCATAACTTTTTCCATGTTCAGTTAGCAAGAAAGTTATCTTTAACTTTCCCACTAGGATAAGTTTTCCCTCAAAACATGTCCCGCAAAAATACAAGATTTTGCAGGAGTCTCAGCAATACACTTTTCTTTTCCTGACAAATGAATACACATGGAAAACAAATTTCATATTCCCTCGCTTCACTACACTTTTCCTGGGAACAACTTTCTCACACAAAATTCCTGACAACTGAATGAAGCCTAAAAGAAAACCTCAGGAAAACAAACGAGGTGGACTATATGGTAAGAATGAAAAACAATTGCAAAATCATGATCTATATCATATTTTTGGCAAAGGCACTTAAAGGTCAACAACAGTCTGCCAAGTGAAATGATTTTGAGCTTACCAGTCCAATCCATTGCGTAGACCTTGAATCCATTTGCGTTCAGCTCCTTTGCGAACTCACCATACCTGTCACTGTTATAAAAGTTGCATATGTCTTAACCAATGATACAAGTTACAGAACCAACTAAAGTTCATTATATATCCAGGAGGAAAGGAAGATTACACACCCGTGTTCATTCAGGCCATGCAAAACAACCACAAGTCCCCTGCACAGGACAGATTGATTATCGTCATCAACTTTTTTAATCTAGTGGTTCAAACAGTAAAGTACAGTAAATATCAAGGCCTGTACAAAACAAAAAACGTCCGTTCAAGCTTTACAAGAAATAATTTGTAGATACTTTATTTTCATGCATTCCATACTTGCAACATACCACTGTGAATGATGAAATAACCCATTTACTTAATAATCCAATTCTGTTATTATTTTTATGTTTCTATTTTCTTTTTGTAAGTAGATGACCCAACTCATTTAAATTGTTACAAAATAAAAAGAAGAAATAAACTGTTACAAAATGGAAAAAGAAACATATTTGGTACTGAATTAAAAATATGCTTTACAGAAAAGTGATTTTTCTTAAAAACAGCCCACTTTCCAACATTGTTAGAAATTAGTTTTCAGGTTTTCATTTTGACTTATTAATTAATAAACAAAAAATAAATAAAGAGTGACATGTCCCCCAAATTTTGGTTTATCAGGAATTTGAAGTGAGACAGGTTAGGCGATATCATGAGAAGCTTAGGCTTAGTTGCAGCATCTTTGTTCATAACCAAAACTAACCATTCACTTGATCTAAGCATAATCCATTTGAACAGTGGCCTAAGTTCCCACCCCGGTTGGTTACCTCTCCTATCTTATTTGTACAATTCAAGTCAAAAGATAATTCACCAAGCTGCTAACCCTACATCTTTAAATTCTGAAACCTCTTTCACCAAAGCATGACAAAATCTAGGGTTGCATTGTAATAAGTATCAGAGTAAATGGCTTTAGGGCATGGATCATCTGTCCCGCTCTTTATACTATTGTCTGTCTCATACTCTTTTAACCACTTATTTTGATGATATGACAATATGTAAGGGATATGAGACAGATGATCCAAATTATGTACTCTTTGTCTTCAGTGTTATTGTAAAATAAACTGATGTATATATTATTGATTGATTGATGTATTACAAGATTGATTGATTTCTGATTGTTTACAATGATCATATATATAGAAGAAAATGTGGTAGTAGGTGTAGGTGGTAGGTGAGGAGTAGGTGGTGGTAAATTGGTGGTAGGTGATGGTAGGTGTAGGTGGTAGGTGGTGGTAAATTGGTGGTAGGTGATGGTAAATTCTAACAGTTATTAATTAATTTCAGAAAACATAATATGCTGGAATCTAAATTTTGGAAATGGATAATCCAAAATATAGAATCATGGACCATACTTTCAAATTTCAAATTTCCTCAAAGATGTTTATGAATAGTTCTTTCATCTTCTTCCTAGCAAGAGGCCATATAATGATTGTTAAAAGCCATACTTTTGGTATCCCCACAAGTCAGATTCTTTTTTTCATAACACTGACTAGCTAAAATTGTGTGCCAACTGAAGAGACTGACAACAACAAAACTAAAGCACTTCCAACATTATCACATTGCAAGAGTAAGAAGCTCTCTCTCTCTCTCTCTTAGTGGCATGAAATCAAAGAGCAGGGTAACAAAACAAAGAAGTCATTTTCATCAAAGAGATACATGGGTTGTGGAATCCTTGGGCTGCAGACCTGGTACAGGGAATTATACCAGTGATAAAAAGCATACAACAATAATATTCTATTTAGATATGATTGAGAGAATCATATAAATATTATATAGTTTTTAATGGTAGGCCACAAACAAAACAGATGGTGCTGAAGTTGATGTGTGAGAACATCAATTACTATTACTATGAAGCCTCATTGAACTGTAGCATTCAAATTTACAGTCTCCATGAAAACAAGAAGAATAAGCAGGTGGATTTTCTGGCCATTCCTATTACCAGACTGAACGGATTGAAATGTCCCAGCAATGCCATTACCAAATCAGTATACAACAAATGCATATGTATTTGATATGAACGTTTCTGAAGCTTTGTCACACTTATTTATTTTATTTTATTATTTAGTAAGAATGCCCATAAATTGTTAACTTCTCACACTTTTTTTTCAAAACAATAATTTGGTTAATTTTAAACTCTGCATATCGTAAATAACTACTAAATGGTTTTTTAAATTCAACCCATCTTTCTCACTCGTCAAACAGCACAAAAATTTAGATGTAAAATTGGAAACGCATTGGGTTTACAACCACCACTAGCATATATCTAAACCAAATCAAAATAAACTAAACCTATTAATCCCATTCATACTAAAACTAGTATGAATGAATATAACTAAATCATTAAACAAAGAAAAAAATTCAACAGACCCACAAAATAAAAACATCAAATTTTTGTTGAAAAATCCAAACCCAATTCCATCAAGTATGATTATCTCAGCCATGAGATCATCAACAAGAAGCTTCATCACGAAGCAATGAAACCAGAAGCTTGCAGATTGATCAACAAGTCGGAAGTAACTCCATGGAAGCTTCATGGAAGCTCCATGGTCAAAATCTTAACAAAGAAGAAAATGAGAAAAATGTGAGAATAGAGTTGGAAACAGCTCACCACCATCAGGTATTCACACCTGAGGATTTGCCTATAAATAGATTACATTAGTTGTTGTATTTAAGTCAATTCAATGAGATAGAAAAATAAGAGATACTATATGTGTCTACAATAATTCAAGAAATAAAATAGTTTGTTCTTCCATTCTCAAAGGATCCCATTCCCATATCTCATCAAGTGAAATTTAATTTTTCCATCAATTTTAATCCTTGTAACAGAAATTGAAAGATACAAAACTCTCAAGAAATTGCACTGAGAAATTGAAACAAGAATAAAATAAAGCAAAATTCAGCTAATTTGAAAGAAAAATATTAGTACTCTACCTGATTTGTTTAGAAACAAGGGTCCACGATTGAGTAAACATGGTCTCCCCTCTGGATGTAACGAACAGAGAAAATTCCCTAAGCGAGTTTTCATGATTGGCCTGCATCACCCTCCGAATCGCGAGCGCTCTCCTGGCAGCCACGTCCTGGTCGACCACGGAGCTGCTCTTCCACGGAACATTGGGCGGCACTCGCAGCAGCACCGGCGGCAACTTCCTCTGATCCTGTTTGTCATCCTGCAACAATGCAGCGGTTGAAACGGAACGCTTTCGACCACGGAATGGTAAGAGGAAGAGCATGACGATCGCATTGATCAGAATTAACAAACTATTCACAACTCGCATCGAAAACAACGCATTCACTCGTCCGCTAGCTCCCGATGTAAGCATTACAGCCGCTACTGCTGCTGAATCGCCTTTTTCCATCGTTCTTCTTTGATTGATTCCCTTTGATTGATTCCCAAAATCCAATTGTCTATTTCGATTTTCTCACAAAATTATTCAATTCAATTTACGAAATTCACAAATAGCAATGGAGGAGCTTGTTGAATTCAATTCGATTGCATGTAATGGCTGGCTGGTAGAGAGAGAGATAGTTTTTGAATGAATTAGCGGAGGATTGACGCAATCTCTTCTTCCAAACTTTTTTTTCCTTTTTTCTCTCTTCTGTGATTTTCCTATCCTTTCTCTCGCTCTCGCTCTCGCTCTCTCCGCGAAGAAAATTGGAACACGTGTCAAATTTGTTGGGTTGAGATTCATTTTCCAAATATGCGGCTACCCGTTTATTGCTCCTTTCCTTTTCTTTTTCTTTTTTTTTTTAATGTTGTTTAAGGTGGTCAATTCACGACCTCTTTTATGATTACACGTGTCATGTCGTAATAGGCAATTCAACGACTTCTTTACTATTCTGTTAACACGTGTAAAGGATGATTTATGGATTTATGGATTTATGATGAACAATGCTAGGTATCATGAAAAAACTTTCATGAAAATGATCATGAAAAATTTATGACATTTGGATTACACTTAAAATAAAACACTACACACTAATCAAGGTAATCCAAAGATCATAAATTTTTCATGACCAGTTTCATGAAAGTTTTTTCATGATCCCTATCTTTTCTCATTTATGATAGACAAAAGGCTTGTTTTGATAACATTATTAAAATCAGTTTTTTTATTCTTTTAGTTTTTTTTTTTTATTATCATATCTCTTCTTTATTTTTTTTAACCTTTTTAAAAAATAAATAAATAAATTTAAAACTTTTAATTTACTTCTTAAAACAAGTTAAAGATCCCCTTCATACTTAAAAAATCAAACAATCAACAAATTTTTAACTTATAAAAAAAGAATTTATAAAACTGACTTCAGATTAAGGTATACTCTTACGAATTTTCGACTCATGAAAAAAGAATCTACATTTAGGTGAAGTTATTCCATAGGTCTAAAATTTCATTTAATCAACGTTCTCCGCCAATGGAAACAATACATGGAGCCTAGAGGACAAAGTCCCTCGCTAATATATAGAGTAATTTTAGAAACTTTGTTAGTAATTATCACACTCTTTAAAGTTTCATTAATTGAGTACATTACATTAGTATGATGATGTAGTATACCCGATTTATTGAATAATTTTTTCACATTTAGAAATGAGATATCTTTCCTTAGAGTTTTTTGCCTTACAAATTTATAAAATGGCTTCTCTTAGAATTTTTTTGATTTTAGAGTATTTCCATTCAAACTTTTTAAAATTTTGTGTGCCAAATTTCTTTAAAGGCTTAGGTAGCAAATTGGTGTATATCAGTTTAACATAGAAACTATCCATCTAATATGTCAAATCTATTATTTTATTATTTTTAAAAATAAAATTATTTTATTTAGTAGACCCAACATCTGACATGAATATGAAACATAAAAAATTTGGCATGTTAAGTTCATGCCAAATGTCAAACTTAACATTTAACATATTGGGTGGACTTTATTCTTTATGTTAAAATTGAAATATTGGGCCCTTTTGTGAAACTAGCTAAAAGTTAGTTTTTAACTTTTAATTCATTTTAGTCACATCATTGCTCACATTTTTTACATAAACTAGCTAAAAGTTAGTTTTTAACTTTTAATTCATTTTAGTCACATCATTACTCACATTTTTTACATATAAAAAATTAAAAAAAAAAAAAATCAACTTCTCAAATAATCCCATTGTTGTGTCACATAAGAATTGACAATTCAATTTGAGTTGCTCTCAGCCTTCAAAATTTTGAAAATGGGCCTGAGGTTAAGGCATTGATACTGTCTCGGCCCAGGCCCAGGCCCACATATAAATTGATCGCAGCGAGCCAACTTTACACCTATTGGCTTTAATATTGAGACAAATTCCTGACCGTGAAATGTCAGCGGAGGTCCACGTGAATATGTCTCTTAATTTAGGTTTGGTTTAGGATGTGAGTTATTTTTTAAAATTTTAATTATTTTAGTTTAGATTAAAAAGTTTGTAATAGGTTTTGTTATCCAAAAGACAATTTAAGAGGGGGATAAATTAAGTTTTTACAAATAATAATTATAACACCTTAATAAAAATTATGACTAGTACAAAAGATAAAAATAAAAATAATTAAAACAAGTATTCTAGCAATTATATTAGTTAATGAATTTAGAACAGTAAAAATGTGAGATATAGTTATAAAGTTAAGCAGAATAAAAAGATAAGGGAGAGAGAGAACAAATAGATTTATATGGGTTAGACTTCAACCAAGTCTACATTCACTCCTCAAGCTTCACTTTAGATTTTTCAGTATACTCTAGCTTCACAGGGTGTTAGCAACCTTTTCACAGATGGAACAATCCTCCACAGATTTTACATAGACTTTCTAAGCCAAGAATACTGAATGTACTATACTCTTACAAGGTTGAAAAGAAGGTGTTTTTGCTTTCATAGAAAGCAACAATAATTATTTCTTAAATATAGATATATAAAATGAAACTCTGGTTTTTTTATAAATCTCACACAAAAAAAGATGAGCTTAATGCTATAAGGCTCAGTGTATAATTTCAGAGAGAAAGATGTAAACAAAATTGAAAAACACTTCTCAGAGAATTTTTCAGAGAATAAATGAGAGTGATTATAGATCAAAGAATAATTTTTGGTTTCTGCTTCTTGTTTGTAGTTGCTGTCACTTGTTTACATCAGATGTTTTGATATATATAATAAAATTTATAACCGTTGTATTCATTTGAATATAAATCATTCCATCATTGCTAATTTGAACTTGTGGGAGACAAGGCTTGGTTTGGAACAACTTTAATTGGAATACTAGCCGTTGTAGTTCAGTGCTGTTGAGAGCAGAATTCGAAACGAAGCAAAACTGGGCAAAAATAGCCTGGCCGGTCGTCTGGTTGGATGACCGGCCAAATGTCCACCCGGACGTTCGGAGCTTTGACTTTTCTGAACCTTTTGAACTGCTACTGTGCTAGACTGTTTGAACCTCTGTTTTGGGCTGTTTGAACATCTGTTTTGGACTGTTTAAACCTCTGTTTTTAGTTTGTTTGAACTCCTGATTTAAGCAAATATTAAATACATTCTAACAACATTTAGGATAAAAGCTTATGTGAGAAATAATGGGACAAAATAAATTTTGATTCTATTTTTCTCTTTCAAACAAATTAAAACATAATAAAATAAATCATCAAAATAAATGTTGATTCTATTTTTCTCTTTCAAATAAATCATCAAAATAAATTTTGATTCTATTTTTCTCTTCCAAATAAATTAAAACATAATTAAACAAATTATCAAAATAAATAAGTCTAACAGGTTTTTTGGTTTTTTAAACTTTTGTGAGAGAAAAAATAAAATAATTATGATTTGGATGTGTCGTTTTATCTTATTAACTTTTTAGTCTATTTTGTATTTTTATAACTAAAATAGCCAAAAAATCAAAAAGTTTGATAGACTAAACGAAGGATTAATGATAATATTCCACAGGTCCTATTTATAAAGTTGAAAACTCATTTAATTCTAAAATAAAATACTTGCATCAATTAATTTTATATATTTTAAATTATTATTATTATTATTATTATTATTATTTTTTTTTTTTATTTTTTTTTTTAAATTTAAGGATGCTACACACATCTCATTATTATTATTATTATTTTTTAAATTTAAGGATGCTACACACATCTCATCATCGTCGAAGCTTTGTTAGACAGTTATCGACAACTTGTTGGAATGTTCAACATTGCTGGAAAGTCGCTAGAAATTCGTCGATCTATCGCTGAAATGTTTTGAATGTCACCAAAAATCGCCTAAATGTCCATAACATTGCTGGACTTAAAAAATATTACCAGATACTCACTGAGATTTTCAAAACATTTTTGAAAAAAAATTATAAATAGAGAAATTAAAACAAAAAAAAATATAGCAAAATTTGTTAATATTGACAAACTAAATTTAAAATTAAAAAAAAATCCACAACAAAAAACAACAATAATGGGAAAAAAGCACAAGTTTTTTAATTTTGTAGGGTTTAAGCAAATAATGTCTTATATTGATCAAACTGAAAAGTTTGTTTTGAAAATTTTAAAGTATGATTCTGTGGGGATATATTTTCTGAGTACCAACACGTGGCAAGGTGACGCCGATGTGTCAGCCAAGGTGCCACGTGTCCTGGTCGTGACGCGCGAGGTGATCTCGGCAAGGCCGAGGTTATCTCCGAAAATATCGGAATCCAAGATAAGTGGATAAGGGATAAGAGTCCTAGAATGAAAAGGGAACTCAACCTAGATGAGGGACAAGAGTCCTAGAATGAGAGAAAACTTCAGTTTGTATTAAGATAAGACTCTTAAATAGTTTATCCTAATCTTACTGGGAGTCCAAGATTAGCAGTAATCCTGAGTCCATAGAAGTTAGGCTTCTATTGGGACTAGGTTTATGTTGGCTATAAAAGAGAGGCACCCCCATGGGTCTAAGGTATGTTTTTTAGGCTCAAGCTTGTGAGTTGAATAATTGATTATCATTGAGAGATATACTGACTTGATTATCGGAGTGCCCCCGGGTGGACGACCCACCGCGGGATTCTTATATTTCTGTTGCAGGTCAGTCAGGTATCATCTATTCTGCCAGTGCTCTCCAGTTGAATTACTGAGTTGGCAGTGTGGTCGGAAAATTTCTCATACAATTTGGCGCCGTCTGTGGGAAAGAAAGAAGAATAGATGGCCAATAAAAGAAAAAAGAATAGATGGCCAATGACGGACAGAAGGATCAGACTGGAGACAACGCTCCTGTTGGGAATGGGAGATCTATCAACCTCGACGTTGAAGGGGACAACAGCAACACAGAAACTTATGACCAGAGTCATGGAGTGAAAGACACCGGCCAGGAAGGTGACGCACCAAAGACAACAGATCGAAGCGGATACTACAACGAAGATGACCTCTAGGTATGGAAGGATAGATACCTGCAGAGGAACGAAGACCCTTCCAGAAGGGATGCAAAGACAGGGGGCATGAGCGCTCCCAAGGAGATAACATTCAAGTATAGAAGAACTCAACCTGAGTGAGCAAATCCCGGATCCCAGATCCCAGAAGACATGATCTCGGCCTAGATGAGTAGGTCCGAGAAAAGAAGAGCTCAACCTGAGTGAGCAAATCCAAGATTCCAGAAGATAAGATCTCAAC